CAACGGTATCGAAGACATCCTCGACATCGGCGCGAATCTCGTCGACACTGCGAAGAACGTATGTGTTCGTGGGAGCGCCAACAGCGTACTGATTAGGCAGCTGGAAATCGGGCTGTCCTACCTGATTCTTCTGAAATGTCTCCTTGGTCTGGGGATTGTAGTAGTCGTGGCGTGCCAGTTCAAAAATGGGTGTTTCCAAAATCAGGTTCTTGCTCTTGAGGTGCCGGCCGATGTTGTCTGCCACCCTGCGCGGACAATACAGCTGCAAAGTCATACCAACAAGAGCAGATATCTGACTGCCAGGTGGACCTTCATTTGGCAACTTCCTGCGGGGTTCAGTCCACGCTATCCACTTGAGACCGCTAGTGTTGGCGCTGTCAATCAAGGGTGTAAGACCTTGTGCCGTCTTCATGTCGACCCTGCCAAATTCTTTACCGACACCGTCAAGCACCTGGATATCAGTTAATATACGTTTTGCGAGAATCCTGTAAATCCAAGTAATTACCATAATGACCTGATTTCCCTTGTTACCACCACCCCTGCGGAAGGATACTTTGATCCTGCTTTGACCACCGTGATTGCCAGCGAACTTCTTCGGGTCGGGGAAGGGCACCTGGTGCGCCTGAATGTAGGTCTGCTTGAGCTTTCCGATACAAACATTCTCGTTGCTGTTGTCTCCAACGACTTGGATCTCGTCCTCGTCGTCACTCATGGTGAGATCAATCGCTGGTCCCTTCTGGAGTAGTGCAGCAGCTGGTTGCGTAGCCTGGTTTTGCAGCTCAAGTGCGCTTCCACCGGCAAAGTTAGATCGGTTACCGTTCTTCTGAATTCGTGGATCCTCAGTTTTGACACGCTTAGCAGGCGATGACGTGCGCTCTTGGACGTTGTGTAGGCGCTCGACAAGTGAAACCTGGCCAGCAATTGTAGGGTCAGTGCGCCCGCGATCAGTGTCGTTACCGGAAGATGCAGGACGCTTGGGATTTGAAGATGACGGATTTAGAAGTGCGCGAGGGTCAAATCGGAGAGGTTGTTGTGCAGGCGCTCCATGGGTGTGATGGGTCGCGTTGTCGCCTGGCACGTGCGCGGTTAGCTCTTGGGGCCTGGGGTCAGAGTCTGAGTAAATGGAGGCAGGAGCATCTGGTAATGGATCAGAGATCGGAGAAATAACACTGGGTTCGTAAACGACCAGTTCGAAATTCTCAAAAGAGTCCGAAGCCGGCCTACCAGTGTACATATTGCTGGGCTAGAAATAGCGAACTTGAGAGGGAAAGGTGTTGATGAATATGAGAGTACTCAACACCAGAGCAAGTACCAAGGGCGAGTAGACATGACATGTAATGATGGAAAAGAAGGTGAGGCGGAGGAAAAAGATTGAGGATATACCTGTTCTACGCACCCTTCTCGGGTCAAGTAATAGGGCGGGATTCATCTTGTCCATGCCAGGCTTACAAACGAAGCGACTCGAACCTTGCAGGTAAGAGAGCTTCAGGTGAGTGAAAAATACCCCTCAGCGTTTCCTAGCTCTTCCAACCCTTCCAACGACGTGGACGCCGAAGCGCATCTGATGGTCCAAATGCCAAGCTTTGATTCCTTTGCTCGCCACAAATTACGCGCCGTTAAAAGTTTCTTGACGTGCTCGTAGAGTCGTCACAAGTATCGCGAGTCTTTTCAAGCCTGGTTGCGATCGATTTACGGACGCGCAACTCCGTATCTCGGATGATGAGATGATGGTGTGTAGTCGCTTAGTACATACCCGGTCGTCGGGTAAGTAAAGGTAGACGTATGGGATCGCGGCACAGCGGCGGGGCAGCTTGCCAGACAACGATAATGTGCTGAGTTATGAGTTAGATGATCGAGACCCCGTTCATTTGTATCGCCGTGCGTGGATGAAATGGCGCTGCTGCCTTTCATGTTCGTTGTGGGAAGTCATCGCGTGTGGCTGAGAAGAGCCTAGCAAGAGTGTCAGATGACCCTTCGATTATTCACGGGGTTTCGGCAAAGGGCTGTTGCCCGCGATTGTCGGGGAGAACCGACGCGTATTGCACGAAAAGAGTAAAAGCAAGAAACATCATCAGCTCGCACACCAAGTATGTGTATCACTGGGTTATTAGGGTGTGGGGGTTGTTGCGCAACGTATGCAGAGGTGTGGGTGCACCAGCAAAATAGCGGAGCTGTTCCCGCTACTGCATATATGTTACTATCTGTAGATTCTTGTACAACAAAACGCCTCCCATGCTACCCAACCAGATGCCATGCTATGGGAATAGTAACCTTGCGCCTGTGATGCAAGACAGTCATCTCTCACACGTGTTCAAGTCACGAAGAAAACACTCAAACTGAGGTACAATGTGCTCAACACCAAGTAAACACCGGGTTCCTTCCCTTGACCATCTCCAACCGTTCCACGATGACCTTTTTCCTGTTTCCTTCCATATCTTCATTCGCGGCATATCCTAGATCGCCGTCATCGTCAAAGCCATAGTCATCAACGTCTCTTCTGTTCGTTAGTGAGAATCGTCTATGGTGTCGTGAGTCGCGTGTGTTTCTGCGAGGCGCATCGTAACTCATTCGCGACTGGTGCGCAGGGCGTCCATTTGAATGAGAATTCAGGTTGCGCGAGCCCCAGTACACGTCGCTCACTGTTGCTGGCGATTCAGGGCCTTTATCAGGACGTCGCACGTCGAGGGAGGAAGAGCCGCGCGTGAGATTGAAACGATTTTCGTGCGCTGTTTCTAACGGCGGCGAGTTCATGAGCAGGTCTTGCTGGGGCTTCTGTGGTGGCGTCGATACAGCTGTGATGTCCATCTCTTCATGCTCTTCCTGTAACCGTGACTGTCTGCCTGGCGTCTGTTTTCTTCGCATCTCCGCGGACGGAGCCCGCAGTGGCACAGCGATCGGTATCTCCACAATGTCATCCCACACGCATACACGTGCACTTCTTGTAAGCTCAAGTGGTCCCAGATCAGGCGTCTTGAGCGTCTCCACTACGTTCCATGCTTGTCCCTTCATGACAGCGATCTGTTTAGCGTACATGCGCTCTTTGAAATCGGCATCTTGCGAGAAGCACTTGCGGAGTGCTGATTGTGTATCACTCCACCATTGTTTCGAAGTGAGGAGGGGGAGGAAGTGGCGGCGAGTGGCTTCGGAGAAGGGCTGGCCGATGAGCGACACGGGTAGGAAGAGCCAACCGAAGGGATAGCTGCGCCACTGCAGTCTTGTTAGCTTCGCGGTATACAACAGAAATGCAAGAATACTCACAGCATCGGGGTGCTTCCAAGGCCACGACAAACTGTTGTCAATGGCACCGATGGTCACTGTAGGCGTTGGCCCACTCTGCATGGGTGTGTTGGACCGGCTAGTCGTGGTCATGGGCTCCCTTCGCCCGTACGGGTCTAGTCCGGACTGCTCCATCGACTGCCTCGTGTAATCGCTTGGTTGATGGTCATCGTCGTCCACATCGCCATCCATCTTGGGCGGCTCTGCAACGATGGTTGCCTGCTGTGTCTTCTGGTCGATCTTGATCATCCAGTTGTCCAGGCCTCTGTCGGTGTTTCGCATGATGTAGTCGAGAATCACCAGTTTCTCTAGTTGCTCTCTGAAGGACTGCTGTATGGCAGGCGTCCAGAAGCCCCTCCGTTGGTGTTGTGTGGATCCATTCCCGGATGCTTCGTCATCGTCCTCGCCGTCTGATTGCGAGCCATTGGGTCTGCAGTCCTCGGCCCATCTTCGCTTCTTCTTGCGTGCCGCTCTATCAGCGCTGTAGCCTGTGTTGTGCTGATCTGGCCATGGGTTCTCCTTCAAGAAGATGTTCGCGTCCTTGAAGCCCTTTAAGAACACCTGGAAACTCCCAAGTTTTTCCGGGAATGGCTTCCTTTTCCTGTAGTATGCGCGCCGATCCCAGAAGTCGTAGTGAAAAGATTTAGAGGAAAGACCGACGACGTCGGTGTAGGGTACAAGATTGGTGCGTAGCTGGGTATCGAGGACGTAGGCGGCGGCTTCGGAGATGTAGGACAGGTTGGGGATGAGACAGGCGCGACCGAAGAAGAAGGGAAAGAGGTTGCGGTGTATCCACTTGGTCCATTTGGGGTTTCTTGACGCGTAGGGCTCCTCGTCTTTGGGCTTGAAGACGCCCACAACCTTGCCCTGTGTAGTTCGAGCGAAGTAGCTGCCCGAGCTGCCTTGTGTAATCAGGAGAGGATGCACGTCCATTTCGATTGCCGTCCGAACGCTTTCCACGATGTCGTCGAATTCGAGTTTCGTCAGGCGATCAGAGGGAACGTCATAGTCGAAGGTGAGCGACTCTGCCGTCGCTGGTCGCACCCAGTCGGGCGCCTGGAAGACGGAGTGGTGGATCTCAAGCGTCTCATCTTCTGCCGAGTCTTTCTGCTTCTTCATCTTGAATTTCTGCGCAATCTCGTCGGCCCATCGCTCGAATCGCGCATTGATGGCCTTGATGTCAACGCCGGAATTGGCACGTTGCCGTCGCCCAGAAGAACTCTTCTTGTGGTTTGGCGAGTTCGCGCCGGAGTCGTTCATGCGCATATTCGAATTCCGCTGTGGCTGTATCGGGGCGTACTGCGCATCGGATAGGGGATTCTGGTGGTGGTCACCCTCGAAGTCGCTGCCAGAGTCGTCTTCCTCCTCCTCGGCCTGGGCTATCCGGGCATAGCCCGAAGTCGGCGGTCGTTTTGATTTGGGCATGGCGGAATGTGCGGAATGAAAGAACGAAAGTCGGTTGGGGTTTGCTGTTCCCGACGTCGTCTGTCGATGCCTGCGATTATGTGGAATGACGACGGAAGCTGTTGCAGGGGGGTCTCAGCCGCTAGCGCCGCCGTTGTCTAGCGCCTCCACTGTGGACCACATGCAAATTGGCCAGAGCACACTAGTCCATCTGATTCTAGATCAATCAAGTTTCCTACATGCTATGGGGTATCGAATTCTATATGCAGGACCAGGGCGCTCAGAGATGCGCAAACAACTGACAGCACTAGCCCCACCTTTTAGAAGCTATCGTCAAGATCCATCTGCCGCTTCACTATACTGGGACTGTCCTCCTCCATACCACCCGTTGAATCCGTAACATCGTGGCCGGCTGTCATGAGCAAGTCGTCCACAATGCGCTTGCTAGCTTCTCGGGCTTTTCTACATGTCAGCTTGCATCAAGGGTAGTAGGACCGAGGAAACTTACCAGGCGTTTGCATCAGCTTGCTCTGTGGGATGTGGAATTGTATCGTCTTCGGAGGGCTAAAGTCAAGATCGTCCTCCTCTTCGTCGCTGTCGTCGAAAATTGTACCGCCGGTTCGATGGATGCTCATCGGCTGCTTGCCCTTTGCAGGTGTCTGCACGCTTATGCCTGGTGTCCGCGGCGTCTTCATGGGCGAGAAGATGTCGGCTCGTAGTTGTGGCGCGGGCGAGGATGGTGGCGAAGAGTCAAAGTCCAACAATCGTGTGGCAGCACTCTTGGGTGTAGGTGCACCGCGCTGGCCAGCGCGAGGAGTGAAAGCACCCGTGGGCTTGTATTTCCTCGGACTGATGAGCGGCGTGGCTTGTACACGGTATGTCTTGTCAAGGACGCGGTGGAGCAGTGGGTCATTATTGGTGTGTGACTGTTTCGTGGCTGTAGGCTGCATGAACGGCGAAGACTCGAAGCCGCTCATGTCTGGTAGGGCTTGCGACTTGCCGGGTGTGACTGGTTCAAGCTTTGGCGTCTTGGTGCCGCCGATATTGGGCCTGAACTCAGACTTCAGCGCTTCGTAAGGTGAAGACATGCCAGCAAACTGGGGCTCTTCCTCGTATTCACTGTCTTCCTCCTCTTCAAGGTTTTTGCCTTTTGTGATTGAAGGTGGAGCTCGTGGTGTGCTGTGTCCGAGCGAAGGCGAGTCGAAAGCCATGGTTGATTCGGCGTCTTCTTGTGCAGACAAGGGTCGGGGTGGTGTCGTGGTCGTTCCTGTTACCGTATCCTCGTCTTCAACCGTCTCGTCATATGTCTGTGATTGCTCCGTCTCCTCATGTACAGCTGATTCGTCTTGGTCAGGGGCCTCGTAACCAGAGAGCGACACGTTTGCGCTGGCCTCGAAAAACTGTTTCCAGAACTTGGAGCCTTCCCAGACAGCTTCCGAATGCTTTCCATACTGTTCGACTATCGGGAGGATACCGGTAGTGACGATTCGGTGTGCTCGGCTGAAGTGTTGGTCAATTTCTGCCCGTGTCAGTCGTGATAGTGGGGTGTGCGAAGCTGTGTGTACCTTGCAGTGTGAGCGTGATGGACTGCTCTAGCTTCTCCAATTCTTCTGTCAGCGACAGGTTGCGCTGCGGCGCCATACTCATTCGAGACATGGTGTGGTTCACGGCGGTGAGTTTGTTTGGGGGGGTGTTGACAGACGCGCTCCGTCGAGTTCGGGACGAAGACTCGCGAGTGCTTGCTTGGCGTCCCCGAGTTCCCCGCACTTCACCCAACACCAGCTCTGGCTACAGCCCCTGCCTCCATCGTCAACCATGCTTTTCCTAGCCTCCCGCCCAAGTAAACCTGCGGAACCGTGCCGCTCGACTCGTGTGATGATCGGACCTGCACTAGGCTGACAAGCTGGAGGACGTCATTTCCGGGCCTCTTAAACCCGATCAGGATGCGTAAGTTCGCGCCGCGCGACCGACGTGATACCACGAGAGGGGTTGTGCATACACTACGCGTACTCCGCATGTCCGGGTAGCCCATGTGAGCTTCCCGGTATACGGGATGAGCAGATCTGGGTAAGTATATGGCCATATGGGTGCTGCGGGGGAAGCTCAATCGCTTCGCCATCCCCAAGGTACCGTTATTCATCTGGTCTTTGCGTCTGCCCTTCGAATTTCTATTGCGCCAGGATAGCAACCATCATGTCATTTCGTCTTCCAGCAAGGACACTCTGGCAAGCTGCCCCGAGATTCGCGAGTATACCACGAGTAGCTCCTCAGACAGCACGTTGGGCTCGCAGTTACGCAGTTGCATCGGATCAAAATCGGACAGCCATAGTAACAGGCTCTGCTCGTGGAATGTGAGGCTCATAAACTTCATGGCCATATGCAATGATTCTGACTCGATCACAACAGCGGCAAGGCCATTGCTCTTCGACTAGCTAACGATGGATATGATGTCTGCATCAACGACATAGAAGCCAACAAATCTGAAGCCGACGAAGTTGTGAAACAGATACAAGGCTTAGGGCGCAAGTCCTTCTCATATAGCGCCGATGTATCGAACCTGAGCCAGGTCCAGGGCCTAGTGAAAGCGTCTGTTTCAGAACTAGGACCATTAAACACCATGGTAGCGAATGCCGGTATCGCGCAAGTCAAGGCGCTGCTCGATCTTACAGAGCAGGATCTCAAGCGTATGTTCGAAGTGAATGGTCAGTCTGCCTTACTTTTGTGTCGATAACATCGATTGATATGTCTCTAGTATATGGCGTCTACAACTGCTATGCTACCGCAGCGAAGCAGATGATCGAACAAGGCAGTGGCGGCAAGATCCTCGGCGCAGCATCAATCGTGGCTTTCAAGCCTTTCGCCCTCTTGTCTCACTACAGCGCCTCCAAGTGGGCCGTTCGTGGCCTTACTCAAGCCTTTGCTATGGAAATGGCTGAACACAAGATCACTGTGAACGCGTATGCGCCTGGTATCGTTGGCACCGCTATGTGGGACCTCATTGATGAGAAATTGGGTGAGAAGACAGGCGCGAAGAAGGGGGACACGATCAAGAAGTACACAAATGAGTTGATCGCATTAGGCCGAACAAGTGTGCCTGAGGATGTGAGCAGCACGGTCAGCTTCCTGTGCAGTAAGGACAGCGACTATATGACGGGGCAGACCATTGTCATTGATGGGGGTATCATCTTCACTTGAGCGTCTCGTCAGGCTACAACAGTGGCTCTACTGTCTATGTACGTTATGTTCTTCCCTGCAACTGGCGTTCAACGTGTGTTGTGATTCACCGCCAGGTTATTCATTGTCTTTTCTGGTTGTTCTGCCAGCGTTTTACCACCGACTTCAGCTATATAAACTGTCTCCTCCTCGGTCGCATTACATTCTCTTCATTCTACTATTGCAACAACAACCTACTTTCTGAATACCAAGTTATCAAAATCATCATGAGCTACTGGCCAGGCGGCAAGTTTTATGGGATACCGGATCTGGGCCCTGTAGAGGTAGAAGAAGGCTACTACGACTTCGACGATTATGGCCGGCTTGAAACAAGAAGCGGCCCCGTTCTACTGGCGGATCGTATTAATCCATTCTCAGAGCGCAGTCATAACCAACGCGCTCCTTCCGCATTTCGCACATCTACCCCACCTCCAAGACGACCTGAGCCAGCACGTGTGCAACGCGTTGCGTCCGACAACATTGACAGATCGTTGCTAGACAATTGGCAAACGAGCTTATCGACAATCGAGAACCTCTTCGCTGAAGTGCTCGAGAATCGTAATAGGGGGGATGCTCCAACGTATAGGAGGAAACGAGATCAGATGGAAAGCCTGTTGGATAGCTTGAAGCGGGCGATCCGTAACAGGACACCGCTAGCATGATCGCCTGGTTTGAGTTGGCTGGAGGCTCTGCTCTGGGTCTGTATTTAGTAGGATCTGATCTCTTACTTGCAGTTACAGTGTTTGAAGGTCACTTGGTCACGCCGTGTCTATATTCGACCTTTCTAGGCTTCTCTTGTGCGTTCAGGGTTTCTCGGTATGAGGCTGTTAGTGTGTAGCAAACTCTGTGTATCTGACTATTTATACTTTTCCACATGAACTGTTCTAACCCGTCAAATAAGAACACGCAAGCTCTCACTCCACATTAGATAATAAAAAATGCCATCCGCTAGTTTACCCCACTGGTCCCATGAACGATTACAGCGTAACTCTCCGAATAGCAGCATAGAAGACAGGGAACAGTCAGCACAGCCAGCACCGCTCCTATATCGGAACGGTGATTTCCAAGCAAGTATGTAGCAAACGTTTGCTATATCAAGTAGGAGACTTGCGTGTTGGTACGAAAATTTAAGAGAAATAGACACGCTAAGGACCGCTATGGAAAACTCTTGGGAAAGACAAGAAGACTGGAGAGAGAATAATCAGGAAATGAAAAGAATCATTTATCGCCTGGTGGTTGAGATGGAAGAAAGGGTTGAGGAGGGACGTTAGGAACGGTGGAAGTCATATCTTCAATACCTGGACAATGACGGAACGACAACAAGGAGATGATAGCACACTGGAAGGACAATACATTTTATGAGTTGGACACATGACTTTCGTTTGTACTTTGATAACTTCATGTGCTCTTGTTACAAATCACTTGATGAAAACACGTGTCATAGTTGCTCCATCCTCTTCGCTTTCTTCTGGCTATGTGGACAATGCATGAGTGGCGCATCAAACACTAAGCTTTTTGAACGCTTTTTCTCCAGCGCTTCCATATAAGTAGTGACTGAGCCCAGAAATTAGAGTTGCTAGTCAACTCTATACCTCTTAAGACATTGATCCCTATCTACTTTGGCTTCACTCAAATTTCGGCATTCATAATGTCCAGCTCTGATTACAATCACAAAAACCTAAGCAACTACAAGCGTTTTGCTGAGTTTATGCGCGACCAAGAAGCTATTATGGACCGAGAGGAAGAACTCCGGCGGCATGAAGATCAGGAACGATATGAAGAAGAAGAATCAGTCGTGGAAACCTCGTTCCCGGAATCAGCAGTATCCCAAGAACATCAGGTAATCTATAGCGAGCTGCCGCTCCGTGGAGATACCTTGACACTCCCAACCCTTGTACAGCGTCAGGCCGACACCATGCATATTACTTCGACGGGTCTTCACGACCGCGAGGTGTTTGAAAACATGATCACCTACAGTTACCGTACTAGAAGTACCCCTCAGCTGAAAATAGTGACTGGCGAGCTCACGCATGTACTCAATACTCTCTACATCAGGATAAATGGTCTTGAGAAGTTGAATACTGATCTCTCGGACATGTTAGAAAATGCGCATGCTGCTTTTATCTTGGAGCGTCAAGGGGGTAGACGGCTTTCACCTTCTTCTGCGAGTATTTAGAGGCCTCAAGTGGGGGAATCTCCTCAGGAGAATTAAGTGTAAAGAAGGATTGGCAGAATAAGCATCATTACCTTCTAGATATCAGAATACACCGCGATGATTACATATTCACTGTGTATCCGAACACTTTTCAAACGTTTCTCCTATCTTGGGTGTACCAAAATCTCGACATAGCTGTGTCCTAGCTCCTTAGTCATGCAGTCGTGTGGTCAACTCGTTAATTGGCAGTTACAAGTGGTAGTAAGAGTGGGCAGTCACACGTCGTTTGCATGATATCTCACATGGTCCACTATGAACGTCCCCTGTTTGCTTCAAACAACAGGAGTAAGTGAAAGTCGTTCGCTTACTGCTTGTGAAGCAAACCCCATATTGTTGTCGTCTAGTGTGGTTGCTGACGAGGAGGTCTTTCAGCATGAGTATAACTCTTCTAAGATCTTTACGAATTGCCTTATCGACACAATAACACTTACATTCTGGAAAGCCAACATCTCAAAGATCTCTGCAATAATGAGTCCTTGCGAGATACCAAAGAGAGGTCAAGAACAGTATCCTCCAGCACCATCTGTCGAGGTCGATGATGTTGCAGTCGAGAACGACAATACCGAGGGGTTTCGTCAAGACACCATCGACACATATTTAGCCTACGAACGAATGGCAGGGTTGCGTCTGGATGCCGAGGAAGAAGAGAATATGAATGATGCCAGTCCCGATGATTCAGAATCCACTGCTGAGGGGTATGAACACGATGAGCGTTATGAGCTACCATCACTGCCTTCAATCCAATTTCGTTCTGTAGTGGCTGGGCCACCACAGCGTCCACAGGCTCCGCGTCAGTACAGTGCAGTCCCTGTACCACCACCTCCCACCATCATCTTGAAAAACGCTTCGCATACCGCCCCAGTCGTCTCGCTACCCGTGACCGAAGCCGAAGCTTGGTCTCAGTTCCTTGGAAGGGCTCCTGGAGATTTTGTCCCACGTCGCCCACATTATTGTCAGCCAGGACATGCCTCCACCAATGGCTACTTTGAAAGCTTGTACCCGAGAGGCGTTGTATCAGATGAATATGTCTATAGTCGCAGTGCTGGAGGTGTGGGTCATATTACACGTCCTCGCCACGCCATGCCAGCGAGGAACTGTGGACCGAACGGACGAGTTCCGATTGCTATGCCACGTGCTGTCGATAGGGATCTGGCTCTTCGAGAGGAACCAATTGAGCTATTCGAAATGTGGGCCGATACTTTCAGCAGGAGTAGAAGGATCGAGGAAGACGTAGCGACCTTGAGAGAAAGACTTCGCTTGCTGCATCAGTTTTACTATAGGCCGTATTTTATGATGTGAACATGCGTATGTCGCGGCGTCCATTTTTCGCTTCGGCAATACTTAGAGCATCATTTGCCAATGTGATGCCGGCGGGCGTTCGCTCATTCGTTTGTATTTGTCCGTTATTGACGCATCGTCATTCACACATGTATCTGCTGTAGACCCAGGAACACTCCTTATCTGTAATTCATTAGTATTATTACTAGTATAGCATCGCCCGCCGCAGAAACCCCACTACGCACCAACAATGTCTTACTACCAGAGATCCAGCGCATCGCCATATTATCTTCCGCTTGATGCCCAGTCATACCAGCACCAATATAAACGAAGCACGTCCGCAAGGGCGCAAACACAAACTTCACATGACTGGGTGTGTATGAGCGATAATCTTCACAACGATATGCGAGCGATGATGGAGGATATGAAGACAAGGAGGAAGCAGTGGCAAGAAGAAAGAGAGAAAATGCGCGAAGAACGACAGTTGGGAGATGCCTGATGATGCGAGGCCATCGTTTGAGACAGCGGAGTATGACATCGGCAGTAGCTATTTGGGCCAATGTGAGATACTCCGTAGAATGGCATGGAACTTCGGCAGGTGAGCCAAGTCTTCCATGTAACTTGAGATACAGTGTGAACTTCGTAACGATATATGTAACAAGATCAAATCTAAAGCTGATGATCCTAGCATCTAACGGTGGTAGAACAAGAGGCGGATTATGTGAGCCGATGCTGTATTGGCAGCAGAATATCATGCGTCGAGGTTTCCCCATGTTATAACCAAGTTTACTCACGGAACACCAACATTTGGAACATATTATGATGTCGCAGAAACCGGCGATCTATTCGTATACGATGTACTGTTGTCTGACGAGCATAACTAGAGAACTGCGACCAACGTAGAGAGTACGAGGTCCATAGTGATCAGCGTTGCCAAGATATATTGCGGGTATTCGCAGAATAAGCGTGATTGAATGAGAACGTGTTAGACATATGTGCTATTCGTCTCCGGTGGCGATATGGATCTCAGTATCTCTTGCTGTATACAGTACCAAACTGATAGGACAGCAACTAAAGCAGGTGTGAGAGATCAAATGCGACGTAATCAGGTGTAATCTGGTTAGCATTAAGCAGCGGAGTGTCAATTGCGATCATTTGGAGAAGGAAAATGTCAAGAGTGAGGCGAATAGGGCAGAATCGCGGACATTTGCTCCGCATACCAAACGTTAGCTCTTCACTTGTAGTATTCGGATCGCTTAGGCGTACTTTGTGGTACATCCGGCAGTGTAACACAATAACGATAGTATCGTTACCCCACCCATATGTTGAGTAACGATACATCGGCAGTTTGCCTAAAAGAGATCAACACGGGAAACTGTCTCCCTTACCAAAAGAATGGTGAACGCCGTTAGCAATACGTGTTGCGTCTCGCATAGGCTTCGAATCCTCCAAAGTAATGCACAAAACCTGTCGTCCCGTGGCATCTCAGTACAGCCGATCGTCAACGTACGCGTTCATTTTTGTCGTGGTGGACGCGGTTGCGTTGTTTGCTCAATCTTGTGAGCTGTCGGCTAGAGTCATATTACGTGGCTATGGTTCCGCCTGCGTCGGGGAGCCCGCGTAAACGAAGGATAGCTTCTTACAGCAGAGCACTCGCGCGCTGCTAACGCTGATCCATCATTGGTAGAACGCCACGGATTCTATGGATGTTCTAAGTCAAGGCTCACGATACGAAACGTTTGAGTGGCACTGGTGACCGTGAAGCCAACTCAACTCCCGCTGTATGGGCAAATCCTGCTTCCAGCACACGTGGAGCATTCTGTCTGCTCCAGACATGTTCCAAGTGTGGTATAAAATCAGTTCATGCTCACCCGTCCTCTTCTCGCGAATTTTCGCATATCATTCTACCTTCATATGTTGCTTCGTTTTGTAAGATTATCGTCTTCTTTTATTGAAGTCACCTCATAGCAATGTATCAGATGGCTCCTTACAGGCGACAGAAACGAGGTTTCGGGTGGCAATATGACAACTACCCGGCTTTTGATATAGCAGCAAACTTCGGTGGTGTGGGCGGATACGGGTGGAATAGCGGCTTTGACACCCAGTACCACGACCTGCCGGGCACTGTCGAACAGGCAACACGATCGCATGTAGAGGCACAAAACGAATTTGAAAAGGCAAAGGGAAAACATGAAGAGGCCAAAAAGAAGTACGAAGAATGCGAGAAGAAGGGTATGTCGCATCCATACGAACTGCACGTAAGGCGTAGACTGATCATACCGCTTTTCCAGTCAAAGAAGCAGAAAAAATGCTAAAGCTTGCGAAGTATCGTGCTCAAAATTGGTGACATGAATGCAAGCGCAAGCATTTATCAAGTGGCTGCTGGCAGCACAAATGCTAGTGTAGGCGAAGATGGGCCTATCGGTGTCTGGGATTCCAAGGAGGTGTTATGAGTGCTTTTGCTTCGTTCTGTATGATGGACATTTGGTGTACCTTGCGAGGACTCACGAAGCCAATTCTAGGCCGGTTGGAAGTGAGGATGTGCGCTGCAATCCAAGTAGAGTTTAACTGAAGGCAATCACAATGGCCATGCAAGCCAGCCCAAACGCGAATAAAGCTTCACGAAACACTGCAGCGTGTCGTAGACAATGCCCACATAACAGCAGTTGTGGTATGTAGGTGTGTACCTCCTCCGTTTGGCACGGCATGTCGTGTTGTTCTGGGTGTCATCGTGGACGATGCGTCGCGCGTTTGGATCTCCCTTTCGTTTCGTTCTTTGTTGTTTGCAGAAATCCTGTGTTGTTCAACTCAGCTCTCCGGACATATAACCACTAAATGAAGGCTCGTAGCGCAAAATACAAGCCTAACATCCATCCCATCATAGCACCACGAAATCACTCAACATGACCGCTCATGCTGCTTCGACTGCTCGCGCGCCTCAACCTTCCAAAAACACAGCTTTATCTGATATACGACCCGCATATGATGAAGTGGAGTATGATTCTGAAGCTGAAACTCTGGTTGGGAATGAGTCTGATGATGACGATAATGCTCACCTGGCATCGGCCAATGATCAGCCTGCAGCTAGCCATGGAACTGCCGGGTGGCCTTCAACTAACGAGCCCGGCGCGTCTATTCAGAACAACATAGACGAATCGATTCGCGTAGAAAAGGCAAAAGAGACAGAAGATGCAGCCGGGCGGTCTCTGTCGCTCATTGCAGGTGCAAGACGGAAGCGAGATGAGGGAAAGTCCTCACTCTTGCAGTAAGAGTGTATGGCGTCAACCTGGTGCGAATGGTAACTCCACAGAAAGTATTGGAGAGATCGCATGTGTTAGAGGCGATGGGTATGCTCATGCAGCATTGGTATGGTTGTGGAAAGCAGACGGTGAAGCGATCGTTTGCACGCTCATGCATGTATGCCAGTGACGTCACTGCGGTGCCGGCTCGGCTTGTCGTCTCGCGTCGCGTCCTCTTGAACAGATCATTGATACCCCTTATCATTATCTTCCCCGCCCCATCCTCCTCTAATTCAATCCCGCCTATGCACAATTACAAAGCCAAACTCAACCTTTATAACTTTTGGCTGAGCTTCGTCGAGCTACACGACCAACTTAGTTCGCGTCACGCGTTCCCTAGTCAGACGGTTCCGTTGATTTGAAGTATCCCGAAATCCACGCATTTGGATACTATCGCTCGCTGCTTTTTATCGTTTATAATTTCACAGGCTGTTGTAATACGATGATCAATGCTCACTACAAACTTACTTCTGACCATCTATGGACGTTATCCGGAGCGCTGGCGCCCGAGACGCCCAAGGACGTATGCTCGGGATTCACAAGCGAGGCGTTCTACAGCAAACTACCCATCATACCTGCCCGACTATTCGGCCACCACTTACTCTCTCGGCGTTACTGATTTCTCGATCTTGGCAGTGCTCGTTGCTCCCAATGATAGATGTGGGGAGTGGCTTGGCACATGCAACAACGCTATCTCGCAGCGATAAGATATACTGAAGCCTTTACCCCACTTTTCCGCGAGGTGAATCGACTACAAGCTATGGCTATGGCTTCCTTTCCGGTGATAGCCTCATGCAACGAGCATACCAAGCATTCCCAACTCTACGGCAGTCTCGGAACAATCGCCATATGTATGAACAACGCATTGCATCCAACATTGCTTGGAAACCAGCGAAGAGAAGTAGAGAGATCGCATTCTAATACACCCAAGACCAGTACGGACAAAGGATTTGAGACCAAGTCTCGGACAGAGTATAGAAAGAACGTGGTCTGTTAAACGTAGAGATGGCCGGGCTGCGCCTTTCACCAGAAGCGGCCTGGTTGAGTGGATCCTATTCCCTACAGGCCCCCTACAAGGTATGATCACTCTTCTTATCATCTTGTAAGCCTGAGATACCATCTCTGTTCATTGTCATTGCTGTAAGTCAGTCGGGGCCTATCTGGTCCGCAATGATCCCAAGAATGTATAAAGCACAGGAGGAATATTGAAAACTGCCTATGGTCCCTCAGGTAAATCGTTGATGAATATGCGTTGCTCTTTCCTTACCTCAGCCGCTCTTCTCGGTACAGTCAGCTCTTCCGCTGTGCCCTTTCTTGGATATGATCGAAGAGTAGTGCGTGATTACTTCGACAAACGAATCGATAATGGAACGGCATATTCCTGCTTGGCAGAGGCTGCTACGACTACAGTAGCACCAAAGCTCAACCCATGGGTTCCCCTGACGCCGGAAGAGAATCTTGCTGTTTGGACTTTGCTCCATTCTCCAATGGCCGGCCTGAACCTTACTGATCCCAATGAGGCTGTACTAACAGACAACTACGTGTAAGTTACATATCAAATAATGAGGTCTTGCTAACAGGTACCAGGTTCTGGATAGATGCGTTACATACCAACAAGAGTGAGGTGCTACCGTACATAGACGGTGACGCAGCGATGCCTGCCAAATATGCGCGTGCTATCATTTTCGAAGGCGGGAAAGCTGAGCCAGACTCCCAGGAATACATGATTGGCCCTCTTCCAGTATCTTCAGAAACCACGATAGAGAAGTTGGACTATCTTTACAATGGCGGTGCTGGTGGTTCTGTGCCTTACAACGCCCGGTATTTTGATGGCCCAAGATCAAGTGCGACGGATCCACTCATCGCATCCATCATGTCGAATATATCAGACATAACGGCTGCTCTCTTCCAAGGAGGTGTATACTACGGATCAAGTGACGAAAGGTCGAATCTCTCGTTAACCTCCGGCACGCCCCTCTCTTTCGACGGTACTAGCGCATTTCGCAACATCATGTTCCGTTTTCCAGGTCCAGCAACCTACATGACACCTTTAGACTTCTATCTTTTGATCGACTGTACTGGCACTGATCCTTCTCTCTACTCGCTGAAAGGATTCGTTACAAACGAGAAGTTTTACCCCACTATCGCAGGATTGCGGGCTGCATTCGAGGCAGGCGAGCTTGCTATGGAATACGACCAGACTCTTGACGCAAGTTGGGCTTTAGTCGACTACAAGCCAGAGTTGGGTGTGCGAGACCTCGAAGAGCGTTTAGCACCAAGCACTCTTGAGATTGGTGGAAAGCGATACAAACTTGACAAGGAGAACCAATACGTTGAGTACATGGGTTGGTCGTTCTACATGTCATTCTCACGAACACTTGGCATCATGTTCTATGACATCAAATTCAAGGGCGAACGCATTCTATACGAGCTGTCAATGCAAGAAGCCACTGCGCAATACGGTAAGTATTTCTTTTATCACTCATAAGATAGAAGCTGAGTACCCCAAGGTGGCAACCAGCCCAAAGCTGCTAATACAGTATACCACGATACTTACTACCAACTTGGTACTGAGATGGGAAGCTTGGTGGAAGGCTTCGACTGCCCATGGGGATCGACATTCTGGAACATCACTTACCCATCCTACAACACAACGCGAGTCAACACCAACGCAATTTGCATCTTCGAAACCGACATGAATTTTCCTCTCTCACGCCATCGTACAGGTGCATCCAATGACTACGGCTTCAGTAACCTCGGTAGCGTGAAGGGCGCTGGGTTAATCGTCCGCGCGATTGCAACTGTTGGTAATTACGACTACATGTTCGACTATTCCTTCCATATGGACGGCTCCCTTGAAGTAATTGTGCGTGCATCCGGGTATCTGCAATCTAGCTTCTACTATCCGGCACAGGCGAAGTTCGGACCGAGGATCCAACAAGCTACCCAAGGCTCACTTCACGATCACATTGTTACATACAAGGCGGACTTTGACATAGTTGGTGCTGCCAACTCACTTCAAGTGTCGGAGTTGGTAGCTGTCAACCAATCTCAGCCATGGTTCCCCGAGCTCGGCGAATTCGAACAAATGGAGATGAACGTCACATATATGGGTGAAGAGCAACAGTTCAACTGGGCTCCCAACAACCAGGCCATGTACGTCGTGTTGAACCCAAATGCTACGAATGCCTGGGGTGAGAAGCGCGGCTACCGTCTCGTACCTGGCCGTTCTGACATCCACCTCTCGACCCTCAACTCACCCTGGTCGCTTAAAAATTCCGAGTTTGCCAAGTCGCATCTTGCCGTTACACGCCAGCACGACAACGAGCCTTTCGCCAACAGTGTCCAGAACATCAACCTCCCTTTCGCACCGCAGCAAGACTTTAGCAAGTTCTTTGACGGCGAATCAGTTGAAGCTGAAGATTTGGTTATCTGGTTCAATCTTGGCATGCATCATTACACTAGGAGTGAAGATGTACCTGTGACTTTGTACACAGAGGCGTATTCTAGCATCGTATTTGCGCCACAAAACTTCTTCGATAGGGCGCAAGATGGAGATTTGCTCAATCGTAGATGGATCGAGATCGATGATGATGGAAACATGACGTTTAATGCATACGGCGTGGGGCTCGATGTTTGCCCGATTGTCCTTGAGGAACCTACGGCCCTACTGGGCGGTGTTGGTGATATGTAGGACAGGCTAATCTCGAGGGCAGAAGAGTACGGCTGCCTCAACACCCGATTGTTGGCGGGAAAGTTTAATGTAAACGATGTTGTACGTCATAAGCCCTCTTGCTACAACAGACACCACGTATACCGCGTTCTATTAGGCTTCGGTGGTGTCATCAATCAACGGTATGCAGAGATCTGGCGCCGACTTTGAATGAACTCTTCCATATGTCGAGAAATTCTGACGTGATGAGCTGCCACATGTGAAAAACTTAGGCTGTTATGAAAATCCTTGGGAACATTCTTCACTATGTTGTATGTCAACACACAGCGGCAAGTCTCTCAAGCTTGACACAGTAGAACTGGTGCTTTTCTTCTCTCCCCTCGCAACACGCACCCCATCCTTACCGCTCATCATGTACCTTCCGTTAAATACTGTCATTACGGCTACAAGCCTTCTTGCCGTCTCCCGACTCAATGATCTAAACCTTGCGACAAACAATCTACCACTATCGGCCTCTTCCGCCACTTTGATAGCCCGTCAAGACGAGGCAAAGCCGCCGCCACCGCCTCTTGTTACATCGATCCAGTTCGTTACGTCAATAGCTCTCATAACTTCAGAACCGACTCTCACAGTTATCGTGACATCAACTAAACCTGATACCTTATCGCCGCCGCCTACAGTCCCATCGACCACAGCAGAAACGCGGACGAGTAGTGAACAACCACCCACAAAACTTAGCACTACAGAGCTGTCTTCTCCAATTTCCAGCACTACTGATGGCATCTCTAGTACAACATCCACCGGAACATCAGCAAGCACAGCTACCACTGTCCCAACCCAGACTTCACATCCAGAAGCAGACGCCGGACCCTGGCTAAGCGCAGGGAAGATCGGCGGAATAGTCGTTGGCTCCGTCTTTGGCCTCATCATCCTCGGCCTCATCATCTACACTCTTCTCGCTGCTTCCCGTGGCATCAACGTATGTAATTGTTTCGGCGGCTGTTGTGGCAAACACCACGACGACGATGAAAATGGTCGCGAACGTTTACCTTCACGGTCAGACGACACGTATCCGCGTCCGGATGTCCTTCATTCTGGTCCTGGAGAGGGCTACAAGGCTTATCGTCCTGCGCGCCTGAGTGGAGATAACCCACCTGTTCCACTTCCCCTGATGCTGCCGCAGCAGATGGAGACGCAGCAGAGACGCGCGGGGAGACTGCAGAGGGGATATCGGGGCGTTGAGATATAGAAGGATCATAAGTTTGTAGAAGTTATCTAGACGATAACAATGGCGTGTTATCTGCTTCTCCACCTTCGCGCAACGTTAACATGGATTTTCGTTACGTTGACATTGCATTGGTGAGTGATGTAGTTCTTTGTTGAGACTTGGTTGCGAGTGGGTGCTGGAAATTAGTTACTGGACGTTGAAGCCGTGCAACTTCGTTATGTAGACACGTTTCTCATGTTCATGATACCCAATCTCGCCAATGCCGCGTTATTCACATAAACAGCCTACTTGGGTTTTTGTGATAAACACGGAACAGCCAAGTGTTATACATCCATTTCAGTCTATCATTATCCACCCACAAACTATTCTCTAACCTTCCCACTGCTTATGTCGATTTCCACAAAGTCATGCTTCCCATCCTCTTTGATCACGCGACTATAGTGTGCAGGCAGTTCGGATGATGAACGCGCACTGCGACTATCTCCTATGTGACCGCCCTGATGGTCATCACCGACATATGGTGAAGGACCGCCACGAGAATGCTCATGGTCTACGAACTCGATAGTCTTGACTTCACCCTCGGTACCTTTACGCCGTTGGGCTGCGCGAGCCTTGCGCCATTTAAGTCCAAAGAACAACAATGTGTAAGCGATGGTAATGCATAGAACTGCAGTGCCTATGCCAATGACGATCACAAGGGGCTGGTCAGGAGTAGAACTGGGCTCGGACCGGTCGAAAAGCTTCGCGTGGGCGAGTTGCGGCGATGAGAAACCGGGCATCTTGGACATGTTTGCTGTACTTGCAATCTTGGTTGCTGATGATGTATGTGCACTGTCAGCGGTGGTCGGAAAGCTATTACTACTGCGTGTGTTGAAGTGATCTGTCAGATCTGCTGGTGAAGTTATGCAAAGTCAAGAAGCTTTGAACTGCTTTTCAGATCAAGCGAGTGTTGCATCATGTACTTGAACAATGTCGTCCGTGAATAGTGTCGTGACTCTGTTGTCTCCATATACCGTGCGCCGTTTTTATTGCGATTGTCCAGGAACAGCGAAGCGCTACGGAAAAGCAATTCCATATGAGCCGCAGTCGTTCGTCCACTCGTGTTATATTTTCGTAGCTAATGGCGCGACCAGAAAACCATTGGTCATTGCATCGCTCTTCCAAACGCGTAGTCTGCCGTCCATTTCCCCAGGAACTTTCTCCGCGTTGATCATTGTTGAGAAGATTGACTAGGTACGCCCGGAGGCGCACCGAAAGTGTGGCGGGTGTATGCAACGCTGCGGTGTCGCAATGCAGATCACCCGAGTGAATGCATGTCGGGGATCATTTTTTGGCCGTGCCACGAGCCCAGAGCCAGCCACTGTGTCGCCCAAGCGTCGCGTCTCATGTATATTTCCCGCATGTTAATAAGTGCAAGTCGTCGAACTGGGAGATATCCTTTGCAGTGCTCCAATACGCCATGCGGAAAATTTGACTCTACTGACGTGTCGCTACTCCTGTCTGATCAGCGGTGGTGAGGTGGTTGGACGGATTTAGACAAAGGATTTCCATGCGCGGATGCGGAGTGCATGTGGAACCAGGCTAATTTTGGTCTCGGAAAACGCCACCGAGGTGGTTACGCGTCCCTACGTCATTAGCGAGAACCTCACACCATGCATCGCAGCTGCGATGTTCCATGACACCAAGCGAATGCGGCTGAACTCGAGGTTCACAACAAAGAAACATGAAGTTTCGAGCTAAAGCACAATAAGTGAATGGTGTAACAAACATCACAGGTGAATTGAAGCAAAGCAGACGGAAAATAGCCCAATGCGGACAATATTGTGGGTATTTTGAATGTTTCATTGAAATGACTTATTATAAGTTTATAGACCTACTGGATATTCTCCAGTATTGCCGAGAACCATTCCTATCCCGCAAATGTCTCATAAGAGACGAAGCGTGTTCAGCTCGTGGCTGATGTCGCTAGCCGATGAAAGAAACTGTCGAAAGAGACTTTTCATGTCCGGAGTCGAAGGAAGCCCTTGCAGGTCGAGCTGCTTACAAGAGACCAGCGATGGCGAGGAGACCACCAGCGACGGCACCCATGGCGGGGACGTTGTTGTAGTCGGCGGCACCAGTAGAGCTGGCAGCGGCAGAGCTGGCAGCAGACTTAGCAGAGCTAGCACGGCTGGCGATAGCGCTGGTAGCAGATGCGATCTCAGAGGCACGCGAGCCAGTAGCAGTGGAGGCCTCAGATGCAAGGCTGCTGAGGACAGAGGAGGCGTCGCTCTCGATGGAAGAGGCGATGGATGAAGCACCAGAAGCGGCGTCGCTGGTGATGGATGCGACACCAGAGCCAATGTCGGAGGTGATGGAGCTGACGACGGAGCCGATGTCAGAGGGGACACCGCCTACGGCAGAGGTGACACGGGAGATGATGGAGTCGACCTGGGCGTTGGCAACGCCGGCGGCGATGACAGCGGTGGCAATGGTGGAGAAACGCATCTTGATGGTGGTGGTTTGGTGGGTTTGGTGGAGTGGGTAGAAGTTAAAAGTAGTTTGTTTGATGTGGAGAGTGTGTGTGAGTTGTGGATGGGGGATAGAGGGCAGGGCGAAGTGAGGGCTCTTATACCAGGTGAGTGCATAGCAGCTAGCGTGCTTTCATGTCGCCATTCGCCATAGCCCCAGCAGCCAGCAACAAACACAGCGGTCGCAGCCCTTGCTCGGTTGCGCCTCCTCCACATTTTTTAGCCACGTAATGCAAGGAAATAACTGGCCAGTGACGCCACATGGCCCGCACTGGCCTTGTGCTTGACTAGATGCGGCAAACTATCGGAGCTCATCCCAGTCATCGGCACCCGTTCCTGCTTTTTCCAGAGAAGCTTGATCCGGGGCTCTTTCACCGTCTTGGTCGATGACGTCTTGCTTGGCTTCTCCAATTCGTCCGTCGTGCACTGTATCGAGATTAATCGGGGCGGGAGGCGGTGCCATGAAGCATCCAAGCCCTGCTGCAGTCGTCCTGCAATGCCCCGTCTGACTAACAGACAGCGAGGCCATGCATTTGCAGTTGCCCATACGCCACGCTGAGGCGTGCCAGATGCTATTTCCAGCGTTGCGGTGATCAACTCACTCTGAAACAAGTAAGCACTTGTCTTGTCGTCTGGCCAAGCTTTCCGACCACCGCCAGCGCGATTTAACGCGAGGTGGAACTTCAGGTCCCTGAAATGCAGGTTCAATTGGGCCCACGTCCAGCCATTGACCGCTCTGGCAACCAGCAGCACGCTTCTCTTTAGCCCGACGTTTTCGTGTCTCGATGCTCACCTCTCTGCATCTGTACCACGATGTTGTACATGCGTGACCCACCTGCTGTCAAGGCAACCATCCCCGTCACCGCCGCATCGATTGGGTCCCCCGGAGCTGGGTGCGTGTTATGCGTTCCAGGGCGACTATGAGACAAGCATGTCGTCATTCTCCGGCCTACTTTCGTCTTCCGAGGCCAGTAATTTCTGAGACGGCCAACGCTCCCCCGAAACCGGGGCGCACGTCACTGGGGAAGCCGAGCCGATAACTATGACGAAGAGTAATCTTGGATGAATATGGTGGTTCGAGCAGACCATGAATTCGAGGCGGCAAGTTGAGATTGGTGGTGCCTGGCCACGCATCCCTACTCGGGTATTCGCGTCGCAACCCTGCTCGATTCAGGATTAGCGCCAAGCCCGTTCTTGCCGGTACCCTAATTCTAGCCCACCGGATTCTCCCATTTGCCGTAGAATTTCATCAGAACATCTTCATCTTTGATCGTCGTCTCGTATTCCCGACGCGCGTTGTTGATGTCACTCTTGTTCCTTCATCGCGGTTCGAGTCACGATGTTTTTCCGGCGCCGACGCAGTCTATCTCCTCTTTTGCTGCGCGCTTGGCCATTGCCATGACTAAAAGTATCTCCCTCGCCCCCACGACACTCGCTTTGACAAATGCCATAGCAGGTATTATGCCACGAGACGCGTGCTAAGCACATTTTCTTTCCCACGAACACGTGGACCCCCTCTCAACATTACTAGAGACGTTTCGATACGTCGTAGTGAGCACATGCCGCCCCAGTCTTACAGGTCTGGCTGATTTAGATTCCTGCAGCCGCTAAGCTGATGGCTGCCGTAGTGTTCGTAGGTGAGCTACCGAGTGGGCTGACTGGTCGTCTTGTAGTCAAGCTGACTTGGTTGTACAAGAGACGTTGATCCGTCGCTGGCATCTTTGGTTAGCGGCTAATTCGCTTATTTACTTGATTGGATGGTCCAACTTGGCGATTACCAGCTAATATCCGCAAGCTTTCCTCGATTTCACAAGCATATTCGTGCGACATACACCTCTACTTCTCGTCTCATTCCCCAAGGTTGTTGACCAACACTCTCGTAAATGGCTTGATTATCTATGAAAAATGCTGTTCCCATGTCTTTCCAGACTTAGGGCGCCTGAAGCTAAATACAGAGGGTGTCGTCGTAGCCGCTGAGGCTATACACTAACATCATGCGTGACAACCCATCACAACAACATCGAATAAGAACTTGTGCGGCCCGCCTCCAGCGCCAGAGGAACGTACTGAGTCGTGGCCTTGTGCTTTTCGGACACTCGTCTCGCTTTTCCACGCCCGTTTCGTCTAATCGCAACCACTTTCGGACGCATTTCGCTCAGGTTTGTCCAGGGCCAATTCTGTACATTGCCCTCTCGCAGTCGCATGAAAACGCAGTGATGGACCGCTGTCACCACTTTCGGAGCAGCTGCTAGAGTCTGATCAAGTGCGATGACTTCGAAGAAATAAGTCTGTCGACCCATGAACTCGCTGGGCCACACCTTTCATGTCAATGTAGGCACGATTTGCCGCAAGCGCAGGAGGCTTCCACATGTGGATTACCAAGGCTGTGATCGATTGAGATCCACAAAGATGGCGCTTAGTTGCATACGACTCGAATGTAGTGCTCAGCTTTGTGGTGAAGGCTTTTGTTGGCTGCAATCTTGCTCTATCTGCATAATTTGGCTCATGGCCTACCTAAATAGTTTTGTTGATGACTTCAGTTTGTATACCAACGCTGCGACAGTCAGACCGTGTACGCAAGCGCAGTCATGGCCATGCTATCCACCGTTGCGGAATCTACCGTCCGCATGCCTTCGTTAAATCGTCGCACCGCTCAGATCATCACGACGTCGCTGGCAAACTCCGATACAGACGACAGCCACTCGCTCTCTACCCCAACCGCCATCGGAATCGGCGTCGCTATAGGCATCGTCGGTACCATATTCATCCTGACTATAGTACTATTACTTCACCGCGCATGGAGACTCCGTCGCCCACAACCAGCAAGACGATACCGGCAGGCCAAGTTATGGAAAGGCTTTGAGCCAGTGACACCTAGCACGGCAAGAACGACCTTTGTCGGAACCAGAATGACGAACATATACCTGACAGAGTTACCGACACCAGTCACACCTGCGTTTCTCATGAGTCCGCCGCTACAAGGAGGCCAAGAGCATGGGTACGAGGATATGGGTCGACGGCACAGCGAGCCCGCGTGATGGCAATACATTCTTTGAGCTACGAATCTAGTACTTGCCGTGTACTGCTTCCACGGACATACTCCAAGTATGCATGCCGTCATTCACATACAGTTGCCGCGACAAACTCCGTCCTTGAAAGCACGATCTTAATGATCAACGCAAAATAATGCCAGGCGTCAGTCTGAAATGGAGCCGCCAGCCTACTTCTTTATCGTACTCCCGACACCAATCCCTCAAACACGGTCAGTGGGAACAGTCCTCGAACTCGATTGGTACTCAACTGCTGCTCCAATCAACTACTCTCTGTCCACTCGCATGTTTACCAGGAGAGTCAGGCTTCGCTTTCTTCGATGATACTGTCTCCTCTCTTTGTACAGGTGACTAGCGGAGTCGTTTGGATGGCGCTTGACCTGCGATTGCCGTAACTTGCTCTTGAAGATTCTCGATCACTTTGCATGCTGTTGTAAGCTCCGCGGTCAGATGGTCGTTCATGGAAGCCAAACGAGAGCATATCTTGTTGATCTGGAAAGACACTTACCTATCTATCATGTGGAAGCTTGGAGACAAAGACGAACCATGTAGATGAAGGACTCAAACTCGATTTTGCTCCGATGGCGTATGTTTTGTGGATGTTTATCGAAACGGATCCACGCATCGTACAGCTCCCGTTGTTGTGCTAAACGCATGATATGTCATTGAATGTTAAGACATGATTCCAATTGACTTGCCTTGATCGAGCGTCGCGAAATCCTTAGGGAAGTAGTGTATCTTGTAACACGAATCCGCGCCCTGCAGGTGAAACATTGTATAAGAGTAACAATGCTCACACCGCATCAGGAGGTCTCTAGTTTCGCGGATCCACCTCCATACTTCTCCGTCATCAATCTTTTGTTCACATTGTGCTGGAGTCACAGGAAGGGCCAATATTTGTTGATAATCTTGACCACGTCGCTGGAGCTCGACTAAGTCTGCTCTGTACTTTGGGCTATTGTTACTACGTGTTGCGAAGAGGGAAAGCTGAGACTGAATCTCCTCGACCTTTTCGGTCAAATCCATATGTCAGAAACGATCCCACGTCGCCATCGTCAGCTGCATGGTTGATCTCGAAGTAAAGCAGGGATGAGTTAGCTGTCAAGAGGTGAGTTGTACTACTAAAACTATTTATTGTTCCGCATCGACCACGCACAATGTGACGTACGGATCGGAGAGAATTGAGCATTCACAAGTCGAGATGCAGGTTGAGCGATACCGTCACATTGTGCAATCAGAGAGCCCAAGAGGAGTGAGAAGCAGCAAAACGCCATGCTACCAGTTGATATGTCTGTTGGACACCCTGGATCGACTCCTGTCACCTTTAGCATAGTTGTTTATAGTATGAAAGAAATGACACAACACTGTTCGGAGCTTGCTATTGACTTCGCCCCATTAGCCTCCTACAAATTTGTAGATCTTGTTACCTAGCCAGAATATTGCGAAAGCAACCCAAGAGGCGTGACTACTCTGATCGAGCACGCTACATTACTCGATCCATTCCGTGACTGTAAGACGATAGTGCCACAAAAACCATAATCCTACCTGCCGTATTCTCAGAGGGGAGAAGTCGTGTGTCTTATCGATAGTAATGGTCCGCCCCACCTTCCATTCCCACAAAACCATGCAAAAAGAGAGCCTGTGGTTCTATGCAAGCTTTGCAAAGAACTTCCGATGACTGCAAAAGCAAAAAAAGCGACCGATGTGGGACTCGAACCCACAGCCTCAGCCTTAGGAGGGCTGCGCGCTACCATTGCGCCAACCGGCCAGTTGCTTGTTGTTGAAGAGAGTAACGTTTTTGTATTAAATATTCTAACAATGTTAGCTATGCAAACAGCTCCAAGGCGCAACGAGTTCTATCCTTACAGGCATCGTCCTTTCTAACACAAGTCGGCCAAGTTCGGCTCTCGACATTCGGACCTTCCATGATCGTGAGGGTCTCACTCCTACAGCACCGTATCAAAGAGAAAAAAACAAACTTCCTCTCTAAGAATACACCTTCCTACTAGAAAAGAGTATATAGAGAGCTATATAGATACAGATTAAAAGCCTAGAAGACTACAATACTGTTAATCTTAACAAATTTTCTTACTAGGAGATGATGTAGGCTGCAAGCTAAAGCTTATTATGTCTATACCTGTTCGGTTTTTCTCTCGTATACGGTGACAGGGTCCGATGAATTGACGGGGACAGCCAGATTCTGCAAACATCTCAGTGGGTGAGAGAAAATGCATGCCGACAATGGTACTGATAGTCATCCTTTTTACAATACTACAAGGAAGCGCAACAAAAGCGACTCCATGAACATGCCCGTGACGGAACTCCTCAAATACCATCCACCAACTCTCACTATAACCCCGCTTCGTAGTAAAACCCTCGCTATTTGAACATGGAATCGCCAAACCAAAGTATCGAAAAACAGGGCCAGAACATAGATGCGTAACGATCAACCCGCCACTTCCCCCAACACCTCATGATCAAATCATAATCAAGCGCTCTCGGCCCTTCCACTGCTATTGCTACCACCCTCGCGACTACTCCTCCTCTTGCCGACCGGCCTTACCGGCGGTCTCATATCACCCCTCCCCTCAGTCGCAGCCTCATACCCGCCATCTTCCTCCATCTCACTCATACTCGACGCATTACTCAGCATGCTAGCTCTCTTACTCTGCCAGGGTAGGTTCCCCTCACTAGGCGTACTAGGTCGGGACCCCACGTTGCTTCTTTGTGGCGGTTGTCTTTCCGATTGCGCGTTACCCTGTGTGATGGTTGAGCTAGAGCGGAGAGATGACTTGCGACTCGTGGTTGTACTGGTGGACGTGTTACTCCATCGACGCTCGCGGCTTTCGGCAGGCCGGAGACGACCGTCCATGTCGAGGTCGGGAGTGGGCGTTGTGCTTCGCGAAGAGCTACGGGAATGCGACCCGTCTCTTCCTCTTGGGTTTTGCAGTAAACTTTGTCGTCGCTTCCGTGAGCCTGTGTGCGAGAGGCTATGGCTGTGACCATGGTGATGGCCACTCTTTTCTACGTCGGCGCTTCGTCCACTGAGACCGCGTGCGCGCTTCCAGCCTCGCCAGCCGGTCCACCATAGCCATCCTCCTTCTTCTCTTGCAATCTCACGTTGTCTGGCGCGGACGCGTTTCCGCAGCTCAGCTCGTCGCTCGTTCTCTGTAGCCCAGTATTCGTTTCTGTAGACTTCCCACTCTTGACGGAAGTCGGGTGTGAAGGGCTTCGGGAGGAGGAGTAGCTTGATGTAGTCGCCTCCCGGTGCAATGTCTTCCTCGGCGTATTCCTTACCGTCTTCCACGATGCGATGGCGGGGTCGGCCGCCGTCTAATGCATGCTTGTTCTCCTGCGCGACGTTGATGAAGTGGTAGGAACTGCCTCCCTGCTCCCCACCCCACAGCCCACCAGAGAAGGGCACAACAAAGTGACCCCATTCCACCAGCTCTCTCCACCATGGCCCCCGTATAACGACAATCTTGGCGTTCATGCCTCTGAGCCCTCGATTTGCAACGCCGATCCACCGGCGCGGCCATCTGACCCCTCTCTCCCATTGTCCAGTCGCCCAGAAAAGCAGAGCGGTAACGACGCCTGTTATGAAGCCAACCTTCTGCAGCATATCAACGAGCCAGTATTGTGAACCTCCAATACCCTTGCCATCCTCTCGTGGGCGCAACCACAACAGGTAGAAACAAAAGCCTATCCATACCGCCAACAGTGTGAGGACGAAAGTGTTCTGCCGCCGGCGGGCGCGTAGGGGGAGGTATTGGCTGCGAAGACTGGCTTCGAGTATGAGGAGATTCAGGTAGATTTGCGGCGGCGACGAGGGGAGGAGGGATGTCGGATCGCTAAGGACGGGCGGCCGCGGGGGCTTGATGGTGGGCAGGCGGTCGTTGTTGGCATTGTGGGGTGTGTCTTGGAGGATGGACGCAGAGTACGGCGGCGGGTCGCTTTCGACGCTCTCAGCCACCTTGTTCAGGCTTGTGCTCGGCGCCGGTGCGCCTTTGACAATCTGGTCGAGTGTTTGCGGCGCCATCAATTAGTCTGTGGGTGCGTTTGGCAATGACATGTGAATGCGATACTGGCGACGACTACGAAGATGGTAGTGATGTGGGTATGCTATGCGTGACTCGTGCCTGTCTGCTTCTCCTCTCTGTCATCATCAGACGGGTCGCGTACACGTTCAGAAGAATGCGCGACGCGTTGGGAGGGGTACTCGTGCCTATATCGAATGCTGTGTATCCGGCGCGAGTCGGTCAGTCGCTCCCGATGATGCACCTGTCTCGCTTAGCCGGAGCGGTGAAGACATGGATTGCTGGCATACAGCTCTACCCCACAATGCTAGCTTCGTATAGGCAGGCTCCTTCACTGAGATGGCTGACACGTCCTTGGCCCTGCAGTAGTCAACGATGTCAACGGGACGGAGCGGGGGTGAAATATGCAGGGGCTCATGTGAGATCGTCTCGCGGAAGTGAGGGGTCCCATTCACCCATGCAAACCGAACAGATGGGTCGGTCACGGTGTGAAGGGGATACTGAATTGTGGGTGGAAGAATGCCCATTGTTGAAGAGGCCCTATACTGAAATGTAGTGGTATGATCCGACATGCCCGAACTCGCAACGCTATACAGAAACCAAACGCCAAACGATGCAATCCTTCTAACACGCAGACATCTATGCATGACCCCGCCCTTGCTCTCTGCGTCTAACTTCGTTCATCTCTTCCAACATCACGCGGTTGAACTGCTCCCAGCCATCCAGGTATACATGGTGACCGGCCTTGTTGATGATGATCACCTTGCCTACCCCATGGTCGTTCTTCTTCTCTTCAGCCGATGCCTTTGCTAGTAGGCGCTCGCGTTCTTGCTTCATCTTCTCTTCAGCCGCATATCCACCAGCCACGTCCATCCAGTCGTTCTCTCCGTACATGAAGATGACTGGGTAGCCAGTCTCGCGTTGCGTGGTAGAACTAGCTGCGGCGTCGCCATCTGCGGTAGGCCTTTCATGTGGTTGGATATATTGCCTGCCAACAGCCTGGATTCTGCGGATCATTGGGCTGCGAGCGAAAGCGCCAGGGGCGAGCAGGTAGGAAAGCGCATACTCGGAACTACCCCGTTGGCGGAATAGAGCGTAGCTGTAGTCGTGCAGCGCCTGTGCCTCCTCTTCTGGTAATTGCGAGAAGCGGCGTGAGGTCCAGCCTGATACCAGACGAGGACCGAGAGGCCCGGACCAACGTACAAAAGTAAAGGGCGAGACCATGTTGGCCTCCCAGAGAGAATACAGCCACCACGGCAATCGCCTCTTTGGTGCTTGCTTAGCCTCTTTTGTGGTGTCGGCTGTGGAATGTTAGCGAGATGCAACAAATCTGCTACTGAACAACGTACCATTCTTTGTCCGCTGGTTCATGAAGTTGTTGTTGTCCGCTGTTGATGGCTGTACACCATTCTGGTTCGTCTCGGCAGCATCTTGAGTAAACTCATTCGCCATGGTCGAGTCCTGTGGATCAGGCATCTCCTCGTCAACTGCGTACGGGTCTTCTGGAATACCAACCGGGGACGCAAGAATCAGCTTGTTAAGATGTCCCGGGTACTTGAGCGCATAAGCAACAGCCAGGTACCCTCCTAAGCTATGTCCTAGCAATGTGAACTTGTCCAAGCCCCTCTTTATCCGCCACTCCTCCAGAGCATCCACAAACCACGACTCGGTCTCTGAGATCTTGCCTTCCTTGTCTTTGGCATGGATCTTGAAGGTTGGCCGACTGCTTCGGCCCATACCGAGAAGGTCCAGCGCAAAGACTTTCCAGCCTTCGGCACGCGATAATGACTCAAAGTTGCGATAGAAGAAGCCAAGTCCAGCACCATACCCGTGGAGCATAACCAAGTTGTTCTCCACCTCTTCGCCCAGTCGCTCCACGGAGAACTCGTTCAGTGCACGATCCTTGCCACTTAGCTGAACCATTTGCGAATTCCATCTTCGTGGTCCGTACGGGTCGTTGGTGGCATTGGTGGTCGTCTGGTCTTCGGGATGCTTGGGCGGCGCTTGAAGGTCTACCGAGGACGGACTAGCCGAAGCAGGCGCGGAGCCTGTTTGCGTATGTGTGGGCGGGCTCTGGAGATGTGGAATGTAGGATAGAACGCGATGCTCGGTTCTAAAGGTCGGCACAATTCAGTACACGTGTGGAATACACTTGTTACAGGGCACTACTCACGCCATAGGCGATAGTCCCGCCCACCACTGGTCGAAGCCCGATTTGGCAGACAGAGGGAACCACTTTGAGAACCTCCCCTGTGCTTCTCCCTGCTCCTTTGCGCGTTGGCTCGCCAGCATAGCCTGCTGACCGCCCTGCCCTGCCTCTTCGCCATCGTGTCCTGCCATTGTCGAATTCGCTTTGCTCTCGATTCTAATCGGTGTACTTAGGCTCAAACTGATATAGCTTGCGCCGCCAAATCCCACGCTCTTGTGTATGACGCTTCGGGCGCTGGGTCGGGCTAGGTAACTTCGAAGCATTCGCAGGCGCGCAGAAAGCAGCGACGAGTGGGATGCGCGGAAGAAAGAACGCGAAAAATGCTGTGGAGGTGGAATGGTGGCGGTGTTTGGTCGTGTCGCAGAGCGCCCTTGAAGGCGCCGCCTGCGACGAATTTGTTTTGGTACGAGATGTTGACGTAGCCTCTGGACGAGTTACGGTGGCGGAAACGCGATTGTGACGCGGAGATAAGAAAACCGACGTTTACTGCGCGTGTCGGACAAGTAATCCGGCCGTCCCCGATGCAATGGAACACGAACGAATACGCGGGATGGAGATAGATTCAAGTTTACCATTTCAGCATTGGGGAGTTGCGCCTGATATGCCTACCCACTACCCCACTACATGGCTTCATACATCGCCGCCGCATACTGACGCCCTTTGACCTATCACATGCCCCAGACCCACCTCGTGATTTGCATGCCTGACCTCGAAACCCATCATCCCAATGTCACCGCTTTCATCGCCTTCACCACCTACGCTAATCTCACCGGCATGCTAACCTCATTCTGATAATCAGATTTGTTCATTGTCATTTATCGTCAATTCGTGTCAAATGCTATGCCGCCAATTCCGTCCCAAATGCAAATGTCCTGCATGCATAGTAATAATAGTGTACATTCGACGTCTTACGTCCTTGAGGTTTTAGCCCTGTACTGAGCTTTTCGATCCAACGCGATCCTCATCTTCTTCACATGCCCATCGTGGGAGGAAAAGCGTCTTGTAAACGCTGCGTCGCAGCCTGTAGCCGCCATGTTGAGGGCTTGCGATTTCGAGATTCCTGTGGCTCTGGTTTGTTCGTGTTGACGTTCATCAGCTCAAACCCGCTGGCTGGTCTTCGAGTTCTACGTCTTCTCGACGTGGCGTCAGGACACCGTCAGTCCGATCGGACTAGCCGCGGCTGCGTCGTCATGGTTCCGCTGGTCATGATAATCCCCTTGGGAGGATTTGCCAACGACAAGGTTTGCAATCATCGCTTTGCATTGAATCCTCACACAAATGGCTTGGGCTCTTGAGCATAAGTGATAGTGTTGGCACTGACGACGCTGTTCAAACTCATACGCGTGTTCCGGGGGTCGACTCCGCTACCAGGCCTTTGCTGCTTCTGTAGACGTCCACTGTTGCTTGAGCTTCCTGTGTCGGTCCTATACTGGCCAGAAAATGGTCGTTGTGGTGGTGCGACACCGGGCTTTTCGTATAGTGTCTCTTCGCTCATCGGCGCTTGGTTCGATACACTTTGTGGTTCTGGGCGGCGCTTTCGCTTGATGCAGCAGCAGTTGCGGTCGTATGGGTAGGCCCAGAAGAGATAGCAAACAGCCCAGATCAAGACAATGCACGGTACAATTCCAAGACACACGATGAGGGCGATGGCTGTTCCCGAGATTCCACCACTACCACTGGAGTCTTCCAAGAAGCGTGCTTGGAGGTGGGCGATAGCAGGCATGTTTGTTGTGAGAGTATTGTTCGGTAGAGTGAGGGTTCGATGTTTGGTTTGGCGGCGAGGTTTTTGGTGTTATGCGTGATGTCAATGCTAAGAAGAAGTCACAGTCGAAAGAAGTCAAGAGATACGGAAGCGACTAGGGTGGATTGGACACGGAGGATGGTGAAGCGACAGTTGGACGCGGGGGCGTCTGGAACGATGAACAGGTACTGAAACACAGGATGACAGTTGCCGGTGAAGCGCTTTGTATGCGGGTCTGGATGAGCCACCCGTGGAGACGTCATGGGCAGTGGAGAATGGACTGACGCACATGGCCGCTATGCCGAGAAGTCAGAACTCGTGGCGTTTGCGCGTTCACGCACTAGAGTTACGCTACAACTCTTGGTGCGAAGCCGACTCCCATTAGTCTTTCTTTTCACAGATACTCCTGAGGGTGTGATGTGGTCCATGAATGAACCGTTCATTGGAATTCGTCAGCTATCCTGATTTACCCACCTGATACTGAGGCAACCAGGAACCTGAGACCGTTCCTGATCTCCAGGGGCTGCATCGGATGCTTCACAGAAGGCTGCACAGCCTACAACTCATGCCGTATCAGCCGTAAGGCCGAAAACCTGAAGGATCGTGAGCGCTACAGGCGACCAAGTCATTGACGTGTTGTGTCCTAATATGAAGCGTTAGCCCTGTTTCCAGCTAGCGGGACCGGAAGGCGCGGCGATGACCGCATGGGTGTGAGGCTAGCCTGGTCCCGATCACCACGTGTGGGGTAGACGTCTGCATTGCGTGAAATCAGGATCTTCCTGAGCACACTGCCATTGGCCTGAGGCTCTATGCAATGCGCTCCATGGAGTCGTTGAAGCCAGGAAATGAAGGGTGCAAGAGTGTATCGACCTCGTTAGACGGATGTGGGGCAACCCGATTTCATCTGACAATAGGCGAAACGCGCAATCTGCAAGCGCCGACCTTCAGGGATCAAACTGTCAGGACGAGTACGTACCGCCGTGCTTAGCAATCGTTTTTGAAATGCTGCGCGAATTGCTCTGCCAAACCTCTTGTCTACCGGCTTCGCCCAAATCTACAACCTCAAGACTCTTGAGATTGTCTTCGTTAGGACTCGCGTCCTTTGCGGCCCGAAGTGTCGATTGGAACAGCGACTCCGTTTCGTGCCATGGCATAGTCTGGTCACTCTCGGCGTGAACGAGGACCAACTTGAACCTCGAGCAAGTTCCTGGCCAAGTCATCAGTATCGGAACAGACGGATCTGAGGAAATTTGAACATCTGAAAACTCCTGAAATAGTCCCACAATATTATGGGCTTTGATCAACTTACGCGCCATTGTTGCCAGTCGGTCATCGCTTCGCCAAGTGTCTACCATCCTACGGGCAAACCAAGCTTGGAAGGCAGGGAATACCTTTACAGGCGCAAGAACGGGAACAATTCCACCGATTGAATACGAAGAGAATGCGTTGCCAGCATTCGTGAAGGCTGCACACAAGATCAGGCCTGCAAACTCGATGCCGAGATTGGTCGCGTAACGGTGTGCGATGCCGGATACAACCGCCGTTCCCAGTGAGTGTCCGAGGAGCACAATCCGCTCTGGCGGTATAAGACAGGTGTTCAAAGCCCAGTCAACTACAGCCTCAGCATCGTTCAGTAAGCCACTCTCCGAGGGGTCGCCTGTTGAGATGCCGAAGCCGCGATAGTCGAATGCTAAGACGAACATCTTCTCAGACGCCCCAGCAGAGTACGAGCGATACTCTATTGTACGGCGCTCTTGTGCCAACGTAGCAGAGTTGCCATGGAAATAGATGAGAAGTCTTGCTTCTGGATCGCCACGCAGCAATCTCCATGCAAGTGTATGCTCTACATCGGTGCCTGTCTTCTCTTGTATGAAGGCGTCGGAGTTTCTAGCATATACTCCCAATGGAGCTATTAGCCATGCGAAAAGCCGCTCTCCGTCTTTTGAGGTGATGCGGAAGGGGACGACCTGGTTTTCTGACTGCATAAGCCCAAGAAACCTTGCGGCACAATATCCTGTGATGGAGGACGAGGGGAGCCGACATACTCAGAAATCCCGCTCTCTCGGGCTGTACCAACCATTTGCCTGGGAAAAAGGTGAAATTATGGAGATACAGCATTTCTGACATGATTAGCGTTGGCCTGATTTACTTAATCGTCAGGTGCTTTCTAACGTTTTTGAACCCATGGCAAGCAACATAGCAGTGTGGCTGGGACCCATATTAAACTAAGAAAAGACAGAGTCGTGCCGATGGAACTGGAGATGCTCATGATGGAGTTGGTCGTGTGTTTGATGGCGGACGCGATTTGCATCAGGAGACGAGCGGGAAAACTAGCGCGTCGTCCATAATCGCTCGCAATTACTGCCCGCTCAGTCGCGCAACCAAACTCTGGGCATAGAAGTTCGTCCTTTTCGCGACCTCGCTTGATAGCAAAACGGTGTTGCTAGCAACTTCGCGTTGGAACATATATATTAGATGCGATAGCTCGCTGATTCGGTTGTTTGTTGGCTGAGGGGTAGTGGTCGGCGGGCATGCAGCTTGACCGCCAGCCGCGGCGTTTAGTCAAGTGCCCTGATCGCGACCGCAACACCACTTCGAAAGCACCAACACCAACGTCCACGTTGGAGTCCTCGAACACGCCTGATTTCAAATCGTATGCATGTGCTCGAATAGCGACTCAAAATTCTGGCTCTCTTTCTGGTTCCGCCTAATATCTCTCTGCGCGACACAACAACAGTATCGGAATCTGCAATTACAACGAGGGCGAATCACGATATGAGCACAGATGCGGACAGGACTGTAGAAAACTGGAATCCCAAGACCTACTACTATTATGTATTGCACACAAGTATTCGAGTACTGAGAGCAAACCCCCCCACATAAACCAGACTTGAATGCAGAAATTTCCCAGACGAAAGTCACTTCTGCGGCCAACGTTACAGCGCTGTAACGTTTGGCACGGCTATCCGGGAGTTTTGACCTTCATGGACCTATCATCAGAGCTTCTGGTGATATGTTCGACAGATGAGGACTCGTGTTCACATATACTTACGCTTGTTGGCCAGCGCTCGGGTCAAACCTGGTGAGAAATCCTCCTGGATATTCTCTAGCTCTGATGGTCTCTGGCCTTCTTTACGCCAATCCAAAACCTGGTAAGATACAGGACGCATAGGTATCTCAGATTCTGAAGACGGGTCTGGAGGTAAACCAGCCTCAGTATACGCGCTGGGATGATGGGCAACATTCAACCGCTGGTCTGCCAGGTTGGCAATGCCTAAAGCGCGATGCGTTTCGGAGTCCATGGCAGATGCGCGCTCCAGGGCTGATTCGGCTTCCTTGTACTCCCTAGACTCTCGCGTAGCTGGAGCTGTTGGAATGGTACGTTCTTTATGGCGAGCGTCGTGCGGATCGTGATTAGTAGCTGCGTGCCCGGCGTATAGGTTTGGCTCATACGACTCTTTGCGAAGAGGGCCGCGCATGTTGGCAATATCCGGTGTCCAGATGTCGCTAAAGACACGCGATCCGTTGCCATCAGTAAGAACAGGGTCAATATCCTGAGAGTATATGGAAGAAGTTGGGTGCGGAGAGTTGCGAGTTGCATACAGATTACCAGCATTGTACGTAGTCTGTGGGAGCAGAGCCGTAGTACGACGAGAAGGTTCCGGGTTATCGATGGGCGTATCCGGATCGACAGTGAAGAATCGATCAACACCATCATCAGGCAACGGATCTGGAGTATAAATTGGCGACTTGTCTTTACGTGAGACTTTGGCTCTAGCTTTTTGGAAGAGCGTCGGCTTCTTGTCGGTTTCGAACTGATTTGGAGTAAGAGCACGAGACATTTCATGTGCAACAAATCCCAGTTCGACATCGAGATTCGAAGAAGGATTGCTGGCCGAAGCAGTCTTGTTCAGCGCATCGCGTCTCCAAACCATCTGAGGCGTGATAGGCTTCAGCTCCCCGGACTTTCACTTACGAAGCTGCTGCTGCAGGTCACGACAATGGAGACACTCACCTTTAAAATGTAGATAGACCAAGTACACAACCATAGCGATCTGTAGTACAGCAAGAGTGATAATTGCAGCGAGGGAAACGTACGCAAAAGTATCGTTAAATTTTGGCTTTGGAGCAACGGCTATGGCGGTCTCCGAGGAGGCTGGTAACGACGTTTGAGAGGGATTAACCATTGACGACGTCGAGATGGTAGACTGTAGCACATTGCTGCGCAGAACAGCTGAAGAGCTGGTAGCTGCTGTCGTCGCTAATGTCGATGTCGAAGACACGGACGGCGTGTTCGTAGCTTGGACGAAATCCGTGGCGTATACAGTTGTGAACTGAGTAACTAGGACCATCTTTATGTTTGCTCTGGTTTCTGAAACTCAACTGCGGCTTTGTTATGCGATGAATTGTCTTGTCTGGGTAGACTTTTGCGTTGTCACTCTCTTGCTTTGTGGACCTCTCACACTTTATTGATGTAGTATGGGAGACGAAGATTATAGGCGACGCATCGGTACATTGTCGAAGTGCACGTCATAGTGCGCTTACAATGCGTATAGTGTAGCTACGCAACAGATTGCGCACAGTGATTTCTTATCACTATCTAAGATGGATATGGTAGTTGCCTTGCTATCACGAGGTTACGGTGTGTGAAGGGTCATGCGTATTGTTACTACCTAGGTACCTTTCGAGATTGTCTACTGCCTGACTTCAGTGCTCCTGTGGCCAGTTACACATCCAGCAGGCGGACTTTATAGCCATCGATCATTGTCCCCGATTCTAGCTAGAAAGTTCTTCCCGTCTCAACAAGGATGTCTGCCAAGTTGTCGAGATGCAGGATAGAAGGAAATTTGGTAAACGTCGAAAAAGGAATATCACCAGGCATGAGTCTTCGGTTCGGACACAACCGCATCAAAGCCACGTAAATTAGTGGGAACCCGATACTGAACGTCTTGATGCATGGCTAAGGCTGCATTGTGCCTGAATTCGGCCCCTGCCATGGTTAACTTGCAGGTTTACCCACTAATCAACTTGACTACCTAATTGAGTCTCAAAACGGACAACAACTTTCGGAGTTTTGGCATTTATGTCGGATCGACTAGAACAAGTGGTCAAATGTAACGCAACCATGTGAGGAATCACCAAGCTAATATATAGGACTATCATCTTGTCTAATCCTGCTTGGACAATGATCTGATCTGATCAATACATTCAATTGTATTCCGTGATTAAGTCTTTTTTGCTCCCAACAAGACACACAAGCGCACTCATTACTTCCTTCCTACATAAGCTGTTTCTTCGCCTACATATGCTTCGACTCTACGTGCTCCTCGTGAGATATTGAACCTTGCTTGGCAGCAACTTCCTCGACACGACGCTCGAGGTCGGTGGGAAAGTCGTTCTTGTTCATGCCTGGCACGAAGAGAGGGGCGTTGGTAAAGAGGTAGTTCATCTCTTCTAGTGGTCGCTTGGCAGTCTCGGGTAAGAAGCAGTAGAAGAAGATGGCGTTGGTCAAGTTACAGATCTGTGGAGTTGGTCAGTAGTTGGACATGATAGTCTTGAGTATTCAGGTAAGACTTACGACAAACAGTAGGTAAAATTTCCATCCACCAGTTTCCATACCCGGCTTGGTGACCTGTCCAATCATGGTGTTGAACGCAAAGGATGTCATTGTAGCGATGGAGACACCCTTGGAACGCGTCTTAGTATCGAAGATTTCGGCAGGAATGATCCAAGATAAAGGTCCACAGGTAGAGCTGAAACAGAAGTTGTACAGCCAAGTAACAGCAATGAAGCCCCAAGAAGCACTCTTATTTCCTGTGGATCCAGGAGGGAAGAGTGCCAGCATGATAGTAGCAACGATGAAGGTCAGACAGTTACCAAGGTTACCGCCGATCAGTGTCCAACGACGTCCCAGGCGATCGATGAAGGCAATGCAGAGTGCCTGACCGCACAGAGCAAGAACAGAGGAGATGGCCTGGTATTTGAGCGCATCAGTACCGCTGATACCCATTTTTTCGTAGATGGTGACGGAGTAGTACTGAATAGCTGAGACACCAGTCATCTGGACCGAAGCTTGGAGAGCGCAAGCAAGGAAGAGACGGCGGAAACTTGACTTGTCGCGGAAGAGTTCAAGGTAAGACTCAGCCTCGTTCTCGCGCTGGAAGGTGATAGCTTCTTGGATTTGTTGGAATTCAGCCTGGACCCAAGCATCGTTCTCGTCGCCGTGGGAATGTAGCTTAGCCAAGTTGCGCAGACCCTCATCTGTCCTTCCTTTGCTCATGAGCCATCTGGGCGACTCAGGGAACACCATGATCAGGGCAGCCAAAAAGACGGCAGGTACAACCTGAATACCAAGTGAGGTGCGCCATTGCCCGTCGTTGTCGTCGGCGAACCCGATATCAACTCCGTAACTGATCCAGGCGGCGGCTAGGGCACCGATACCCAGCATGAACTGCACCAATCCACCGATACGTCCACGGATGCTGGGATGAGCCAATTCGGATTGGTAAAGCGGAACGATCATGACCAGGAAACCAACACCAACACCAGCGAGGATGCGTCCTGCGTAGAGGTAGCCGAGGTTCTGGGCGCCAGTCTGTAATGAACCACCGAGCATGAAGATCTGCGTAGAGTACTCGTTAGCCGGGTTAGGGACAGCAGTTTATGGGGACTACATACAACAGCACCAGTCAGGATGGTCAATCGTCGACCGAGCCAGTCACCAAGAGGACCAGCGAAGGCAGCTCCAAAGAATGCACCACCTGTGAAGACAGACACAACCGCGCCAGTCTCATTGTCGCTGGGCTCATTGAACTTGCTCTTGAAAGCCGCGGAGGCAATGACCTGGGCAATGACACCGAGATCATAACCGTAGAGCAGCGAACCAAGGGATGCAAACAGACCCACGAGGAACTGGTATACTTTGGGAGGGAGCGCCATGGCGACTGCAGGCGATGTTGACAGCTGCAGTGGGGAGGGAGATGCAATGCGTGAAGAGACCCACTATCAGCAGCATGCTGGGCCTTTATACTTGATGCTCTAATTTTCCATGCCTGGCTGGATGGTCTTGCCCTTGTTGCACTGTCGCATGGCTGACCACGGTCTGGGGAACGCATCAGACGAGGATACTCCACGGTCTCCGCAAAGAGCGGGGACACTGACTCGCCTCCGCGTCTATTACCTCCGCAACCCGCCTCTTCATCCTTGCTTCACCAACCATCGGCGTCAACACCGAGGCAGCGGCACTTGCTCGGTTGATCGTAGCCCGACTTGTCATTTTACCGCCAACGCGATAACGTTAGCACGTGCATAGTACACATACATATGCGAGATGCGCTACCTTTCAACTGGTGGAATGCTTCTTGGCTCCCCGTGACTTGGCACGGTTGTTTAACTGCAAACAACAGTAGTGTGGCGTGCGTCCGGAATAAGATAAGTTAGTGTACGCTGCTGAAATTCCACGAATGGGAAAATGCGTCAGCGTCGGATGCATCAGCCAGTTTGGTGCTGGCACCGGTGCCGAGCCGGAATGTTGCAGGAACGCCATGGAGCCTTCAACGACGTCGAGAAAGTCATGCCACTACCATCGTGACATTTGATCTTGAGTTTGGAATCCTTCTCTGATAATCCAGACAAAATCATTTCACAAACATAGTCGTCCTCTCTCATCAACACCATGGCAACCTTTACCAAGATTGAGGAGAGCGAAACGCCCTCCATCACCATTCATCCTTCCCACAAGATTGCTAAGATCAACGACAACATCTATGGAGGATTTACCGAGTAAGTTCAGGATAGACGCCCTTCGGATGGCGTTGTGTGTGCATGCTTTTTCTCGGCTAACTAACCACGCACCAGGCACATGGGCCGCTGCATCTACGGCGGCATATATGACCCCGGCAATTCTTTGTCAGATGAGCGAGGCTTCCGCAAAGACGTCATTGAAGCTTTTAAGGAACTCAATGTGCCAGTAGTACGGTATCCAGGCGGCAATTTTGTGGCCACTTACCATTGGCTTGATGGTGTTGGACCTAAGGAGAATAGGCCAAAGAGGTAAGATTTCTACGCGGATTTGCTAGTGCGTGGCGTGCTCTGGTCTGCACACCTGCCTTACAGCATGCAGCCTCGGTCTGGAGTGCATCTATTGCTTGTTGCGTTGGCGTCAGATGCTTGTTCATTTGACATCGAATCGAGCCATCGTTCCTTCAACATGTTGAACACGAAAAGCTAATCACGAGTCTAGGCCTGAGCTTGCATGGATTGGCATCGAGCCCAACACATTCGGCACAGATGAGTTTATGCAGTGGTGTGAGGAAGTCGGCACAGAACCTTACCTTTGCCTTAACTTTGGAACCGGCACCTTGGACGAAGGTATGCGCAGCGCATTTGATCTAGTCGTGTACAATCTGACTGGATATAGCGCTTGGATGGCTCGAGTACTGTAACTCGGACCGCGACACATACTATGCCAACCTTCGTCGGAAGAATGGCCGCGAGAAGCCTTACAACGTACGTTCATCGACATCATACGTCCTAAACTCATGTTCTACAGCCATACTGACAGCCACATAGGTCAAGTACTGGGCTCTCGGTAACGAATGCTGGGGCCCATGGCAAGTCGAGCAGATGACCAAAGAAGACTACGCCAAAAAGGCGTACCAGTGGGCCAAAGCTCTCAAGCTACTCGACCCTTCCATCACCACCATTCTTTGTGGTGAAACCGGATACTCTTCTTGGGACTACTATGTCCTCAACCAGTGCGTCAAATGGGATGTCCACGGTCTCAGCGGCGATACCACCAAGTCGCTGATCGACATGCACTCCATCCATATCTACACTGCCGACAAAGAACATCTTCCCAATGCGACAGCACCTCGTGCGGCTGAGCGGGCAGTACAAATGACAGCAAGCTTGATTGACCTTGCGCGTATTGAGAACAAGGTTCCGGAGACAGTACCCAGACAAACTATCTGCTTTGACGAGTGGAACGTCTGGGATCCCGTCCGCGCCCCTGGTGAGCTTGGTGCGGAAGAGAAGTATACACTTTCCGATGCTCTCGCCGTGGCCAACTTCCTTAACGGTTTCATCCGCCAAGCAAAGGATATGGGTATGGCAACCGTTGCACAAAGTGTTAATGTCATCTCTCCATTGATGACAACCAAGGACGGTCTTGTCAAGCAGACTTCTTGGTGGCCGTTGCTCCTCTTCTCAAAGTACATGCGCGGCCATACCATTGCGCTCAATGTTCGTGCCCCAGAATACACCGGCCGTACGAACCCCAGCTGGATCCGCAACACCATCGAGACGCCCTACCTGGATTGCAGCGCCACGCTCAGCGACGATGGTTTCATCAACCTTGCTGTTACCAATGTTAACGAGAAGCTGGACTTTGAGGTTGACATCCCTGGCCTGAAGGCCGACAAGGTCGAAGTGCACACTGTCACTGGTGACAACGTTGACGTGGTCAACACTGAAGGTGTGCAAAATGTTGGTATCAATGAGAGTAGCTGGGATGGACAAGGCAAATTCAAGTTTGGCAAACACTCCTTCACTCTGCTGAGATGGAAGGCCTAAGTGTTCTGTGGCATGTAACATGTGCATGATTGATGGGGTTCCGGGATGACTATAGACAAATAGATATATGACATGACCACGGCCGACACGGCAAAAATTCTCGATACAAAGTAAGCGTTGAGATTGACATTACATTTCCAAGCACATTGTAGCTCTTACACACTATCTCACAATTCCCCTGTGTCCATGTACTTCTTTGCTACCATCAACCACCCATCTCGATATGCTCTCAAATCATCTGCATGTGTGTATAGCAGATATGAGCCAACTACTATACCACCGGGGAACAGAACCATTGAAACGAAGTACAGCACCATACCCCACCACGCATTCTCGAGGCCTTTGCGCATAGCCTTCTCCTCGCTCGCTCTTGGGAAGCTTTCTTTCAGTACTTCTTTGCCTAAGAAATCGCAAAGGGGCTCCCAACTCAAATCCTCATCGGTGTCAAGCTCCAGCAAGCGGTCTTTGGGTACCAGTGATCGAACAGTATCGTAATGCTTGTTAAATGCTGCTTTCGCCGCAGGACCACCGTAGTTGTTATTACTGTGCGCTTGAAATACCGAGTGTACGAGTCGCATCAATGGAGCCAGTTGTGTGAGGTTGAGTTGTCGACAAATTGTGAAGAGTCGCCACGTATCAAGACACCATATGCTTTCTTGCATGCTCTGTTCCCAGTCTTCGTACTTCCTCTTTGTCAAGATGACTTTAGCGTCCGGATAGGCTTCTATCAATTGCGACGCAAATACACAGCCAGGTAGGTCCATAACAGCGTCGTAGTTGGCTAGAAGTTTGTCAAACTCTTCTTTGCCGTAGGGTTCCATCTTCCGTTGGTTTGCAGGCCGGTCTTCAGATGGTAACAGAGTGACGTTGACGGCTTCTTCCCATAGTGCAAGTTCGGATGGTTTGGCAAGAACGTCGCGCATCTGATGTGAAGTATATCCTAGTTTGCGGAGCGCGATGGCGATGGATGTTGTCCCCGTGCGACACATGCCCAGGACTAGGACGCGCATGGGTTTCTGGCGAGTGCGCTCATCGCGGTCGATCAGCCTCTGCGTAGACATTGTTGGTGTAATTTGCGACAGACTCATGTTTCCCTTATTGATTCGAGTAGTTGTTGTAATCGTCAGGTAAAGATACGTTTCTTGAAAGTCGACGATGTAGAGGCGTGGTGATGCATTAGGCTAATAAGCGGGCGACCGGGTGAACAGGGCCGCAGGTGCGAACCGCAGGCTTGGAACGGCCAATCCTCTGCATGATATGCAGGGCAATGCGAACCGAGCATGGAAGTCGCTTGTAATATTTCATGTCGAGGCTCCACTCCGCAACTCTGCTTCCCAGTTCGATATGAAAGTGCTGGTGAGGTGGTGCAGCTCCAATGTGCTCGACGATTCTGGGTCCTCCATGTAGCGTATCTCGTACCCTCTGTTTGCCCACTTGGCTGCCGTCGCCCAATCTTCCGCTCTTGCGTGGCTTATGGCTGCGATCCTATAGGCTTTGGCGTAGTAATCGGCAAGGCCCTCGTCTTGTACGAGTTGGGCTAGCTGCACGCTCACTGCAGCATCTTTTCGCGCCTGGCGTTTCCCAGCCTTGGACTGCGGAGCCGCGAGAACGAGTTGAGGCTCGAACTTTGTGAATGCGTTCTTGATCGTGACTCGGCGATTGTCGCTGGCTTGTTGAGCGGCACGCTCCTGTGCGCATGTTTCGCAATGGCACATGAATCCGAACCGATCAAGCTGCTTTTGGCGGTCTTCCTGGCTGAGCAGTAGGGAGATGTAAGACACAAAAAACTCTTCCCCTGCTTTTATCTTGCGTGTCGCGTACACGATGCGCTTATTCAGCCTTTCGCTCCAGTAGTAGCTCGTATTTGGTCGACACGAGTGGTTGATGCGAGCGATCTTTGGGAACAGGCCGACTTGATTCCCGGTGTTATAAGCATTGTTGCGAAAGATGGTACCTAGAGCATCCGTGCTCTTCTGATCCACAGTGCTGGATTCGTGTGTCAACGATAGAATCTCCTCTTTTGCCTCGAGTGGAAGTGTGTCAAACTGCTCATGAAGTAGCTTTGCCACTGCAGCCATGGGATATGGGCTTCCTTTGGCGAGCTTTGGTAAGCGAATCTTGAGAACGGGTGTCTCGCGCATGACGATATCGCCAATCTCCATATCATGAGTAGCGAAAGCTCCCAGGCCTTTTCCCTCACTGGCTTCGATAACATAGACTTGCGGCGGCCCGAGGCAAATGGGATGCTGAACATGCCTTGCGGAATCGGAGGGGCATTTTGTTGGGTATGCAAGAATTGACGGAGAAATAGACAGAAGGACATAGATGACATGTGAAAGCATGATGAGGAGTGCTAGGACGCGAGCAGCAGATGACAACTCGGACATGATGACGGCGTACCCGAGACTATCTATAGAGAAGCACGGTGTGAAACGCGTTTCATACTGATGTCTCGTAGTGCCGCCCTCCTGCAGCGACGGTGCCAGAGTCGTGACTCTGAGGTGAAAGCCATCTTGAACGCCTGAAAAATTTGCTGTTGATACGATGACTGAAGTTGTTCAATGTGGCTGCCGAGTGAAGTGAGGAAACGATGATGGTGTCTTGGCCATCGATTGGCTTCTCCACAGGGCGGAATGGAGCCGCGACGCAATCAAACGCGAAAATGCGCGGTCTGGCAAGCTCCATCATCATCTGCACCTGCCTAGACGTATCACGACGCGCATCTCTCGCTGATTTTCTTGCACCAGGGAGATGATGTGACGTCGCGATTGAGCCGTGGACAGCCGATACCGCCGTTCAGACTGCCGATAACGAGTTGGCATGCCGTCAACCCCAACCGTGACAGCAACTTCCCCGCGTCCTAGTGGGGCCGCTGTCCATTCGGTGCCCTATTCCACGATAACAGCCATGGGGTATACAATACTCCGACGCACGCCGTCATCGGACTGGCCCACACATGTGCCCTGAAGGCAGCTTCGAGCCTGACATCTAATACATGCCAACATAGGTCCTGCAAACACCATGGTGTGAGTACAGCGTGTGTACGCATATACAGGCTCACTTGATACTGACTGTCTGCAGCTACACAGCATCGTTCGCTTTCTTCGAGGCGCTCTGGGAGTACGGCGTCAGCCATGTCTTCGTCAACCTCGGGTCGGACCATCCCTCTATCATAGAGGCTATCGTCAAGGGCCAGAACGAGAAGAAAGGACAGTTCCCCAAGATCATCACATGTCCCAATGAGGTAGGTGCCCCATGTTTATTTGGCTAAGCGCATAGACTGACTGGTGAGTGTAGATGGTCGCCCTCTCCATGGCAGACGGATATGCCAGACTGACGGGCAAACCTCAATGCGTCATCGTACACGTCGATGTTGGGACTCAAGGCCTCGGGGCCGCCGTACACAATGCTTCATGCGGTCGCGCACCTGTCCTTATATTCGCCGGCCTGTCGCCTTTCACCATCGAAGGCGAGATGCGCGGCAGCAGAACCGAATACATCCACTGGATACAAGACGTGCCGGACCAGAAGCAGATCGTGGCGCAGTATTGCCGATACACTGGCGAGATCAAGTCGGGCAAGAACGTCAAGCAGATGGTCAATCGGGCCTTGTCTTTTGCCATGAGCGACCCCAAGGGGCCTGTCTATCTCTATGGTGCCCGTGAGCCCATGGAAGAGGATCTGACACCCTACAAGCTGCAGATGGACTACTGGCAGCCCGTCGAGCCGGCTGCTCTTCCTCCAAAGGGCGTCAAGACGATTGCTGAAGCCCTAGTCAATGCTCAGGAGCCGCTCATCATCACTGGATACTCGGGTCGAAACCACGATGCAGTGCATGAGCTTGTGCGGTTGGCCGACAACGTCAAAGGCATACGCGTGCTAGACACTGGCGGATGTGACATGTGTTTCCCGGCGAACCACCCAGCTTGGCTTGGTCTACGATACGGTAATGACCCCGCCATCAAGTCCGCCGATGTCATCCTAGTTCTTGATTGCGACGTGCCGTGGATCAACACTCAATGTCATCCCAAAGAGAATGCCAAGATCCTTCATATCGATGTTGATCCCCTGAAACAGCAGATGCCCGTCTTCTACCTAAACGCCATACAACGCTACCGAGCTGACTCGTATACCTCGTTGACCCAGCTCAACGAATACCTCGAGTCGCAGCTCAAGGAAAAGCTTTCTAGCCAGCTCTTTAGCCAGCGGTGGTCAGCGCTGCAGGAGTCGCACAAGAAGAAACTTGAAGGCATCGCTGGTGAGGCCAAGGTTGATGAGAACGGCCATTTTAGCACGCCATACCTGTGTTCCCAACTCAAGAAGCTCTGCCCGAATGACACCATCTGGGCCATCGAGGCCGTTACCCAGACTGGCTTTGTTGCGGATCAGATCCAAGCCACACTTCCAGGCTCATGGATAAACTGCGGTGGTGGAGGTCTTGGTTGGTCTGGAGGTGGCGCGCTTGGTGTCAAGCTCGCGACCGACACAGAAGGCAAGAAGCAATTTGTATGCCAGATTGTTGGCGACGGCACATACCTCTTCTCCGTCCCTGGATCAGTATACTGGATAGCGCAACGCTACAACATCCCCATCCTTACTGTCGTACTGAACAACAAGGGCTGGAACGCACCGCGAAGGTCTATGCTACTAGTACATCCCGACGGAGAGGGCTCCAAGGTCAGCAATGAGGAGCTCAACATCAGTTTCGCGCCGACTCCAGATTACTCAGGCATCGCCAAGGCGGCAAGCGGTGGGCACATTTGGGCTGCGCATGCGAGTACTGCGGACGAGCTTAGCAAACTACTTCCAGAAGCCATCAAGAGCGTACTCAGTGGAACATCGGCAGTTTTGGACGCGCACCTCGAGGGACCAGAGGGCAAATACGGAGGTGGTAAGGGTCGTCTGGGTTAAGCTGAGCGTTGTTGATGACGTGCCCGTTGCCTCGGGGAAGGTTGAGTTGATGCGTTGCAGGTATGGTGGTAAATATCAGAGACACATGCAAATACATCATTCTTCTACCTGTAAGGTTCATGTAAACCACGTAGTGCTGACAGTATACAGCTTTGCAAACAGTATAATCGTGTTATTCGGGAGGCTGAGAGGCTCTTTCGGGCCGAACCGTACCCTCGGCCGAGCAGTAGCTAGCCGAGCGTGGCTGCTACTCTGAGCTTACAGGCACTACAATACTAGAAAGCAGTCAGCCTCGAGAGACAAGACTCAGTGTAGACTTGGCAGCCTGGATATCCTTTCCGAGCGTCGACGTGCCATACTATGGCTGCGGACAACGAGAGTTCTCAGATATATAAGTAACAATGAAACCTCGAAGTATAGATGAAGCATCAAAAAAAATCCTCACTATCGCGACAGCCCCCTCTTCATTGATCCATCATCTTGTCTTCCCGAAGATGCATCTCAGATCACCTTTCATGGACATGGCTCTCACCTTTAGTTTAGGCGCAACGGCTGCGTCTATACCTTGCGATCCAGCCATGTCCTGTTCACCAGCTATGTCCCCAAATAACATGACCATTGACAGTATCAACGCCACTGCTTTTGCGTTGATGGTAAGTAAACAAGCACACTGCACGAAGATCAAGGTAGCTAATTGTTACAGTACGGATATCCTCTTACCCTGTACGCTCAGGTCCTGGTCCAACCGAACGTCGACACACTGTACTCTAAAGTTGCAGTTGATCTTTCGCATGCGGATGTAGTACTGTCTCTCCCTGATGTTCCTGCGAACAGATATTACGTCGTTCCTTTCTATGACTTGTGAGTCACTCCCAATCAACTGGCTCCAATCATAAAGGTCTCAGCTGACTTTTGTTCGAATCTTAGGTATGGGAACAACTTTGCCAACCTCGGGACTATGATCAACAATCCCCCGGGAGACTATCTTATCACGGTCGCGAGAGATGACAAGCCAGGCCTTCTAATGCTCGATAAAGACAATTATGGAGGCTCCAAGTACAAGGGAATCATCAAATCGCCCACTGAGTACGGAGGGATCATGCTTCGTATCGTGCTCAGAAAACAACACAACCGACGTCGATGAAGTCAAAGCCATTCAATCTCAAATCAAGATGACGACGGTTGAGCATGTAGGAGAGCCGATGACCTCGGCTCTAATTCTTAGTCTTCTGGGTAATGGCCAAATCTCACCTGTTGCTTTCTTCCTTCTGTTCAACTTCAGCGTCACTCAGACGTCCCAGACTCTCCAGCTCTTGGCGCAGCTAAATGAAGCGAATCCACCCGTGGGAAGATCAGACCTGGATTGTGTCAACTCTATGCTTGCCGCCGCTGGCATCAACAATGGAAACTACACTGCTCCAGCTGGCCTCGAGTATGCCCAAGTCTACGAAATCGTGAGCAAAGAGTTCATGTCTCTCCTGGATCCCTTAAGCCATGCATTCAACCAAAACGGCTGGTTCACCCTCCTTCCCAGTATGAGCGGTAACTTCGGCATAGAGTACACCGCTCGCGCATATATTGCGTAGTTTGGCTACCTCCAGCTCGCCGACTACGTAGCAGCATATCCTACCTACAACGATCCGGCGCTTCCTGTTCCTGCGCAGGTTACGATGCAGCTAGCAGCGAATGAATCATACATCATGACGTTCTCTGGGAAGCCGCTCGTTACCGGTTTCTGGAGCCTGACGGCATACGACAGCACGAATTACTTGGTACCGAACGATCTGAACCGATACGCATTGGGCGATCGTAGCAACTTGACCTACCCAGACGGTACGCTACTCTACGCGGATGTGGACAGCGACGGAGCGTTCTCGATCTTGATACAGCCGGCGGATGTGGTACCGAGCTCGAACTGGACTAATAACTGGCTGCCTGCCCCCGTTGGCGGTGGAGATTTTACTGTGGATTGTAGGTTGCTATGGTGTTTTGACGATGAAGAGAGATATACTAACGAACGAATTTAGTAAGATGGTATGGAGTTACTCCGGCGCTTTCAAACGGAAGCTATGTGTATCCTATCGTTACCAAGCAGGGCAGTGTCTACTGAGCGCTCGATTGGCATAGTACCAAGATCGAAACCTCCACTGTGTTCACCATGAATTGATTCGAAAGAGCTTGAGACGCAAGCGATGGTGCTGGGATGTTGTGGGCTTTTGGTGTTTACATTTGCCACATTTACATTTGCTGTATTTGCATTCGCTACATTCACGCAAGACAGAGCATCCTTTTCAAAGAACGAAAGTATTGTTTATTAGACTAATACACAAACTTATCTTTCTGTTTCGCTTCGTAAGGATTCGCGACTTAGCTCTTGTACAGGCGCATTGTGCAGAATTCAGGTCTGGTGAAGGGAGCTTCCATACCACCGTACCTAGATATGCTATCTTCGTGAAGCTCAATGCAGTACCATTTGCTTCATACTGTCACACCGTGAAAGAAACTCGAACGAAGCCATAATGAGAGCTTACAGAGCGTAGAATTCAACGCCAATGCTTCATGGTGGCGTCGCAACTTTATTCGTACGTCCACACTCAGATAATTCCTCCTGTAATGACACATACGGCGCGTATAAGAGGCCAGGTGTGTTACCGGCCGCGGTATTTTGCCAGGATAGCCTAAATGAACTTGCCAATACGCCTGTGGGTATACAAGACTATAAGCTAGCTAAAGATGTTGTTACAGCCGCCAGTAGCGGACTAAGCGACTTGTCGCCACGGCCTGTTGCACAATATTCGACGGTCCATCCCGTAATATTATCGTTCTTTAGCGGCTCCTTCGCCTTGTCTGCATGTGGACGGAGGCTGAGTCGGTACTTGGTATCTTGGGGCGGAAATGCTCATCCTGTAAAGCTTGGTTGTTTCGCTTGATACCCTGAATCTAGACAATCGGTTCCAGGGTTATTCGGCCCACGCTATTAATGCCTGTGTAGCTGTCCAGCAGACCATTGTACATGATCATAACGGTATTCTGCATGCTAGTATTGAATCGTGACATATATCTTGTTTATTCTCGCGAATATGAATAACGGACAGGTAAGGATTGGGAGCTTGATGTGACTAAGTGTGTGGTCTAAAAAGGCATTCCGCTACGGGCACAGATATTCCACCGACCCGCTTTACCCCGCACACGCTACTGGCAACCGCTGATCTGTCAAGCTTCACCACCACACCGTCGATAACGGTCGTACTGCCAAGTTCCTTACATGCATCCTTCATGCGTTTTCTGCCTATAAACAACCACGACCCCGGATGCCAACTACGGGGTAAGACTTGACCTTGTTCAACGCCAAGTGGACCCTTCCCCGGATTCGCTGTGATAATCCGAGAAATAGCTTGGAACAGCAAGTGTTGCGGTAAACATGGGACGATGGTAGTCCTCGTGCATGTCCCCGCGGGGTATGACTGTAATGATGGTGAGGTAGCATCAGAAGCATGGCTCGGCAATGATGCCTTCGAGACGAGGCAGCGAGGATAAGAGGCAACTCACCCTTCGCTCGAGAGAATCATCATCCGGCTGAACTCTTAAACCCTGAATTCTGAACTTTACTTGACCGTTTCACGACCAACACCAATTATCACAAACGAATGGGCTGCTTCAACACTCATGCATCGGGTACTCTGGACCCGCCAGAGGTCCGCAATTGGCGGATCCACCTCATTGCACTCATCGCTTCGATGTCTGCACTAGCTAGTAGGTCTCAGTGAAGTGATTTGGGTGTGGAAGTCTAACACATGAGTAGTGGGCTATGACACAGCCGTCATCGGTGGGACTATGGCTCTCACCTCCTTCATTCGTGACTTCGGCATGAATGACATCGCGAAGAGCAACCGCGACACAATTCAGGGCAATATCGTCTCCACATTCCAGGTCAGTCTCGGTACCGCTAGCCCCTTCTTATCACAAACTGACGATAGGCAGGCGGGATGTTTTTTCGGGGCGCTTCTCGCTTTCCCTTTCGCCGAACGCATTGGGCGAAAAAAGACAATGATAATAGCTTCCACAGTATTTTTACTCGGTGGCACACTCATGACTGCTTCTCAAGGCAGTCTCAATATGATCTATGGTGGGCGAGCTGTAGCAGGTCTAGGTATTGGCGCATCGAGTATGGTCGTACCTGTCTACATTTCTGAAACTGCGCCACCTTCCATTCGTGGTAGACTGGTCGGTATCTTCGAGATTGCTTCCCAAGGTGGAGGTATGTTGGGCTTCTGGATCAACTATGCTTGTGATAGAACCATCAGTGTCGAAGGCAAGACGCAGTGGGTAGTACCTCTCGCGATCCAGCTCATTCCTGGTCTACTATTGCTTCTCGGTGTCGCATGGTGTCCAGAATCACCGCGATACCTAGCAAAGAAGGACAACTTTGAAGCAGCAGAACGTATCTTGTGTAAGATTCGGTGCCTGGACGGATCCCATGCGTACATTCAGCACGAGATGAGCGAGATTCGGGCGCAAGTCGAAGAGCGTAGCGCTAACCGTCAGAGCAAGAAGGCACAGTTCATGAAGCTGTTCCAGAAGGGTGTGCGAAACCGAATGGCCATTGGTCTTGCACTCATGTTCTTACAGTCATTCACAGGTGTAAGTACACACGATACATATAGCGGAATAGATGCTAAACTGTTCAGGTCAACATTATTACCTACTATGCACCTCGCATATTCGAAACACTTGGTATTTCCGGCACTTCGACTAAGCTATTCTCCACTGGCTTCTACGGTATCGCGAAGACACTCGGCATGTTCACCTTTACCTTCGTCGTTGTGGAAAAGGTTGGGCGTCGCAAGGGGCTTATTTGGGGGGCAGCACTCGGTTGCATTCCTATGTGGTATATCGGTGGCTATGTCATGAAAGCCGATCCGGCTGGAGCTGCTTTGAGAGGCGATATTTCACGCGATGGTTGGGGTTACCTGGCAATGGTCTGCGTTTACGTCAACGCCTTCATCATCTGCGCAACATGGCAAGGTATCACCTGGACCTACGCATCGGAAATCTTCCCTCTCGACATCCGCATGCTGTGCGTATCGCTAACAACCGCCGACACCTGGCTTGGTTCGTTCATCATCGCGCGCAGCACGCCATACATGATCTCGGATCTTGGTTATGGCGCGTACTTCTTCTTTGCTACTATCCTCCTAATGATGGGTGTTTGGAGTTTCTTCTTTGTACCCGAGACGAAAGGTATTAGTCTTGAGGAGATGGATGCCCTCTTCCTGAGACCTATGCATCAGGCTGTGTGGGCGCAGCTCCGCGGCAAGCCGATTTTGACCGAAGAGGAGGTCATCGCGAGAAACAAGGGTTTAGAGCCGGGACAAGAGAAAAATGTTGGTGTGGAGAGGATCGAAGTCGTAAAGAGATAAGATCAATGAACGGCGATGAGGGGACTCGATCAATGATGGTGGACTGGTTTGCCTCATTCCCTTTATCGCCGAAGAAGACGAGTAGACGCGTATGACCACATCCGCAGCATTCAATTTAAAACTCGTCTTCAATACCCTCGTCACCTATTTCTCCAAGATTCTTTCTTCGCGCGTATTGCTATGACCAAGACTCATGTCGCCCAGTTTGATCCATTTTCTGCAGCTCTTGCCCAATACAAGCTCCCCAACGAATCCTTTTCGATGTTCTGCACCCATAACAACAACACATCCCTTCCTTCATACGCCTTTGCCGACACAGTATAATTTCTGGTCTGATCTGTCACTACCCACTTCGGATATGATGACATCACCAAAGGCCCATGCGTGAGCGTCCCTCTTGTCTCATTGCTTCCCTCCCATACCTGCAGAGGCCCTGCATAAGAGAGCGTATGACGTCCAATAAGTGCCCACTCGGCATCGTTGTATTCATCGGCGGAAGCGGGGATGGCGCCGGGATCAGTGGACCACATATTTACCGAGACATAACCAAGAGGGTGATAGATGAGAATTCCCGCAGGATGGTTTCCGAGACCGCCCGTGACACGATCAGTACCATTTAGATATCTCCTGATGCGCTGTTAGGAAAGCACGCTATGTAGGCTTAGGGGGGTGGAACGTTACGATGTCTGGTTGAGAAATTGCCACGCACCTCCGAGTACTGCAGCGATGTTGTCCGGAAGTCGCATCGCGTGAAAGATGGAGTACGAGTTGATGAGATAACAGCTATTCAGATAGCGACGATGAGCAGTTCTTGAGTGTTGATAAGCACGACTTGCCGTAGCTATGGACGTGCATAACATCCTCATGAGACATTCATCGGTGAAAGATGGAGGGATGACCTGTTTGTAATATAATTGATGATGATAGATTGGTATGTCAGCATATGGAATCTGTATCCTAGTAGCAAAAGCTGCTCTATCGCCCTAAACTGACCGAGGTGTTGTTGGGAAGATACCGACTATAACATAGGTTTCGCCAATTTCCAGGCCCTCGGGATTGACATAGCTCGTCTTACGCCCAATATCTAATTGACACCTGGTTGGAGATTTTGCAAATGAGTTTTTAACACAATCGTGTCTTACCTAGTTTCGTCATAATAGTGCATCGACTATTACTTCTTACCTCGTTCTAGTAATAAACGACATACTCTCTTCCTGTGCGTTGTTCCAGCGCATGATTGAGATCTGGGGTGGTTCGATGTTTGCAACGATGGCACCAGTGCCATGAACCGTTACAGATGCGATACTAGAAGAGCCTAGGGTCAAAGCGAGATTTAGAGGTCTTGAGCCGTCATCGCTATCGATGCGAAGCTCTCAGGTACATGCAGCCTGCGGTCTGAACACTCTAGGTTCGCCAGAGCTCGTTTCAAGATCGCCAGGGATGATGCATAAACAGAAAATGATTGAACACTTTCAATGTGAATAGTTTCTGGGCGACCAAAACAATATTCTCATAGCCTGTGATAAGAACTGAAGCAGAATGAATAAGTAAGATTACACCGATGAGGGGTGATAATTGATAGATCACGGATGAAGGATGCAGCTGACGTAATTGGCGCTTCGCGTCGATCCGTGATTTCTCCTGCGAGACGACAAGAGATCTGCTCTGTTGCATTATGACTAGAACAACTCTAGTACACTTCAAGATAATGCAACCCTCCTTCTAGATGATGTCTGTTACGTGCGCTTGTAAAGATCCCAAAACAGCGACATGAGAATTCGAGAAACACCACGGCACCGACAGCGAAGGCACCTGATCGTGGGTGTTACCTAGGCAATGTAAGGGGCTGCGCTCCGTAGAGCAATCGCGAGGTATACAAGAGGTTGTATTCGATAGGGAGCTAAGCTCCTAGCTACGTGGTTATCTATATACAAGCTAGTTGCCTGAGTAACAATCGGGCCGGTATGGTCTAGGTGCACGAGGCAGCTTCTGGGTCCTGCGGCCATCGTCTGAGCGACGTTCGGACGATGCGCAGAGAATCCGGGTGCTCAAGGTAGCACCCGGATTTTGCGAGTAGACCGAGATTCCATCGAGGAGCTGTCTAAAGGGCGTTCAGCCCGTTACAATACCCCCCTCCTTATAGTGATACTACATCACCTCTCTGAAACCCTTCTAGGAGGCGGCCCTCGCTGTCCTGTTCGGCCTCTGTGAATGCTTCCCAACGATCTACTGCCTCAGCGTCTTCGAGTAGCTCTGCTAGTTTGAGCGTTGTTTAGTGGAACCCTTTCCACTTCACCTCATAATATAGCTTACGCTCTCTCCCGCGGCGGCGTACCTCTTCTGCTACGACGTCTTCTACTTCCTATTCGTCTTCTCCCTCTACCCGCAGCGGCTGTAGTTAATAATCGTCCTAAACCTAATTCGGGAGCAGGTCGCTGCTAGCAAGTTTTAACTAATTAACGTGAAAGACAGGGTGTAGCCTTAGAGGCGTGTCTAGTTTAACTAAGTAACTATTAATTACCTTTACTACTGTGTACTTAGCGTTCTTCTAGTTGAGCTTCTTTAAGCTTCGCCTTGTGCTGTATTGCTAATTAAGCTTTAGCTATACCTTGTCGCCTACTTAGTAGCGCTGTGCCTCCCTCTAAGTCTTATTCGCCTATCTCTCTTATTCTTGCTAGGCAACTGCTATTCCTGCTTAGGCTAGCTCTACAGCTTATTGTAGCTTAAGCGCAATCTCTGCTGCTTTTTATTCGTCTAAAAGCTATTTAGTAGGCTTTCGCAGTCCTCTCTTATTACCTATCTTAAGTTATAGAGGCTCTACTTTATAGCTGTGCTAAAGGAAGAATAGTAATATCTCTGTTAATATTGCATTTCTTCTGTTAATCGCGATCTAAGCTATTAGGCAGAGTTGTGCCTAGTCGTCTTAAGCCTAGTTTGTAAAGGATTAGATATAGGCCTCTTAGACGCTGTTTATTCTTTCTGTAGCGCTATTAGTTTGTAGGTAGTAGGTAGTTAACAGTCTCTAATTAATTTTTAGTAGCTTGTATAGTCTAGCCTATAAGGCGCTTACAAATTAGCTGCCTTTGTTAGACGTAATAGCGTCTAGTAGCTAGTAGTAAGCGACTACGCGCTTAATAAACTTTTAGACAACAGTCTTTATCTTTGTATCTAAGAGCAGTACAAAGATCGTGCCCTTACTAAGTTAATTAGTAATTACTATTAAACTCGTTATGCTGTCGCTCTCTAGCAGTCCTTTAACAAAATTTATAGAGAGCTCCTTCTAGATCTAAGTAGGTATTAAGAGTAGTTTTAAGAGGCCTTGCGTGCCCTCTCTCTATAACTTGCTCCTTCTGCACGTGTTGCAGTTTCTAACGTATCTTTAGATTAAGTTTGTTATACCTAGCTAGAAGTAGTCTCTTACAAGTATCTTGTACATTAACTCGCGGCCTAGGTAGCCCGCAGCTAGCGAGTTATAAGCGTTGCTAATAATTGCTGTTCTTAACTCGTCGCTGTCTAGTACTTACTTGCGTCCTTAATAGAACAGGACTCTCTCTTTAACTAAGCAGTCTTTAGTTAAGCACTTTAGGCCTAAGCTTACTAAAAACTGCTATTCTTAATCCTCTATTGTCTGCTTCGCTCTTTAGTAGACTTAATCCTTCGCTGCTGTCTCCTGCTAAAGCTTTTTAAGCTCGTTCTGCTCCTCTCTTAATTCTTTAGCGTAAGGCTGCTCTAAACCTTCTTTCTCTTATTAGTGTTGCGACTTAAGCTCGTCTAACTAGTCTTCTAACAAGCTAGCTGCCTCTATTTCTCTCTAGCTTTGTAGCCGCATTGCTATTACTAGAGTCCTGCTATCTAAATCCTCTTTAATTAACTCCTTGTAGTAGAAGTTTGTTAGCTTAAGTATTTGTACAAACCGCTTCTATAAGCGTTTGTCTTCTGCCTTTTTAGGTAAGTCTTATTCTCTTCTTAAAAGCGCGTTAGCTCTTACGTTTTCTTTGCTAAGCTAATATAACAGCTCTAAGTTGTACTTGCCTAGAAGAAGCAACTATCTTATCTAACGCTTGTTTAGCATTCTAGGTTTTATAAAGTATTCTAAGTTCTTGTAATCTATAATTACTTTAAACTTCTCTACTAAACGCAGTTTAAAATCTTATTCTTTAAGACATTATACTACTGTAAGTAGTTCCTTATTATAGATCTTGTAGTTACATTTGTGTACGTTATTCTTCTGTAAGAAGTACGCGCAGAGCCGCAGGACTCCTTTATTATTGTATTGCAATAGCACTCTACTTACTGCGTAGCCGCTTAAGTCGCATTTAAGCACTATTTTACAGTCTAGGTCGAACGCTGCTAAAGAAGGCTCTATAACAAAGATCTCCTTTAGCTTCTTAAAAGCTAATTATTCTTTAGGGCCCTACTAGAAGAGAACGTTGCCTATTAGCCTTATTAATAGCGCTAATAGCTGCGAGAAGTTCTTAATAAACCTTTAGTAGAAGTTTGTGAGGCGTAACTGTAGGCAATAGTGCTTGCTTCACGTTACTAAAGATAGTGGGAGATAGCTTATATATTCAGACTACAGGTGTAGGTTGTAAAGAGAATAATCCTTACCTCGCTTTGTAAAGCGAGGCGCACCTTATAAGCAGGTTTAGCGCGTACTTAGCTCTCTTAAGGGACGTGTGTCTCGAGCCCTTGTTACAGAACCTCCCTCTCTAGTCTAGCGTCCTCGACAGCAGCGGCCTCAATAAAAACCTCTCCTGTTGTTTTAAGAGTAGGAAAAGAGTGTCCTCTACTATGCGCCCTAGGTCTGTTGCGCTTGCGGTTCCTTTGCGTTGTTCTTATGTAGCTCGTATAATACTTACAACTCACTCTATAGTGAGGAGATGTAACAGAAAGAGTTGTAAGGACTGTTGTTTTGTTGTAATACTGTTGCCTTATTGTGATGAAAATTTTTTATGTTGTCGAGGTGAAGGCGGAAAATTTTCGCTCGCTTGTGGTGATAGCAAACGGTTGTTGTTGTGACATATTGCTGTTGTCCTCTATGTCCCTTACACGCTCAACACCTTCGCATTGCACACTATATAACGATACAACGCACACTCATCGCACACTACTCGCACTTTAAAATGGTTTTCTATCCTACTCCTAAGTACATTTCGAAAACTGTCGTTAGGAAGGCCGATCCTTACGAGTGGAGCGAGCGCGACAAGCGCGTGTCGGAGGTGGCTATCACGCTGACTTGCCTGCGCTGCGCACAGAACGTAGCGACCGGCAAAAAGCTTTGTAAAAAGCCGGAGCAGAAGCGCTGTGGCCATTGTGTCAAGGGTAATCGTGGCGGTTGCTCCCTAGTAACTTCCCCTTAGTTCTTCTACACATTTAGGCTTTTGCTAACATTTTTGTAGGTTCCTGGGGATATGGTTGGCAAGCTCAACTAGCTGTATCGCCTCCGGGCTAAGTATGATACTGCTGTGTCAAGTTCCGGCAATCCCAAGATCAGTGCTACTGTGCTGGGTGCTGGCGCCAAGCTTGCGCGTTGCCAGCGCCAATTCAACCTCGAGCTCGCGACCCGCCGCCGTACCGCTGCCCATACGGGTACTCCTATGGGAGTTCCCACCCAGATTCCTAAGACCAGTGCGGACTTCCTGAGCTTGATCCTGGTTGAGCAGCGCAGGATCGCAGGCGCTTTGGAGCAGGTCGTCTAGCACATGGCACACTCGGTATGCGCTTCTCCCATGAGTTCTATTTTTTGACTTTATTTTGCTAATTTCCAATTCATAGAATAGCATGGCCGGTGAGGGTGAAGATACCGATGCTTCCGATGATCCGAGCACTGTTAGCGACGATGAGTCGCAGGCTGATGGCTCGGGGGGCGCTGGTGGTTCGGATGGTGGTTCTGGAAGGGGTGAGGAGGATGAGGCTGGTGGTGGTGGTGAGGATGTTGGTGGAGATGATGTTGGTGGGGATGAGGATGTTGGTGGTGATGGCGTTGAGGGTGTTGAGGGTGTTGAGGATGATGGTGGTGACTGAGTGGTTTTGTAGATCTTTGTTTGTCTGTTTTTTGTATGCATAGATACCCCGGTTCCCTCATATTGGGATTGCGCTTCTTGTGCGCTACGAACGAGACCCTCCTGCTCTTCCTCTTTGTCTCTTCTGCTGCGCGCTTTGATTGAATTCTTGGATCAGCTCTTCCATATTCTCGAAATCTGAAGCTGGAGTCCAGGTATCCCAGGATTCGTCGTAGCCTTTCCAGCGTAGCCAATATTGAAGTTGGCCTTTCCTTATTCTTTTCCCTAGGATTTTCTCAACCTCCCAAACTTCTTTGCCTTCTGGGGTGATTTCAGGCGGTTGGGTGTTATCCTCCTGATTTTCTCTAGGTTTCCATCGTTCTAAGAGTGATACATGGAATACATTATGAATGCGATAGTTTGGTGGTAATTGCAGGCGGTAAGCCTGCGTTCCGACTGCGTCTTGTACACGGAAGGGCCCTATGAACTTGCTAGACAGCTTCTTGTTTGGTTGGTGGAGTATGTTGATATGTTTTGTACTCAATAACA